GTTTTGCTCCTAAGAGGTAATGGTTTGTTAGTGGGCCATTGACTGATTCAATGCAGGGCTGGTAACATAACACCATCCTATTGTGAGATGTTCCACCCAGAGGGGGAAGCCAAGCACTCTTTTATTTTTGGGGACAGAGCAGCTCTTTACTTTGGGGGATTGCCAGAGAAGCAGCTCTCTTTGGCGGCACTCGCAGCGAAGCAGCCGGAGCGCGCTGAGGCGGCGGCGGCGGAGCTCGGAGGCAACTCCGGCGCAGAGGAAGACCGGCCCCACTGCCACCAGATCTTCAGAGGAAAACTATACCCTTCTAAAGATCACCACTGCAGCTGCAATTCATCAGCCATTGCAAGGGGAGCAATCGTCCCAGCAGGACTGCTACTGGCACCCCGAATCCTCAGGTTCTGGACTTTTTCACTGGTTTTGTTTGTACCGATTGCATTTGCCTTTTTTTTTAAATTGTTGTCTAGTTTTCTCCTAGTAAAGAATTGTTACTCCCACTCCCATATCTTTGCCTGAGAGCCTTTTGATTTAAAACTCCTAGTAATTCGGAGGGAGGGGGTTTACCTTCTCCATTGCACAGGAGGCTTTAGCCCTCCTTCGCAGATTCCTGTCTTGTCGAACCTAGACATGTGTTATCACACATCATAAACTTTGCAGCTCTCATGTGGATTTCTTTGGTCCCCTGTTAGCAGCCTCAGGACTGGTTAAGTGGTATATTTCTGCCCATTCTGTCACAGCCATAGCACTTTTGTGGACTCTCAAGTGAACACCCTGCACTCTCCAGGCCATCATCCTTTCTTGCTGTTAACACAATACAAGCCCCGAATATTTAAAGCATATGTGTTTTGTACCACATCAGGCTACTCTTAGAAAGAGCTCTTCACTGATTGTAAAGAAATTATGGAGGATAAGTTTCACTTAGTCCCAGAATAGCCTGGCATCAAATTCTCAGCTGAAATGAACTGCTGTCTTGCCATTGCCTTGGGCACAAACCAAACAGGATGGAGAAGCACAGGTCTGATCCCAAGAGGGAGCTGTGAATGCAGCAGAAGAGCTTGATCATAAAACTAATGGTGACTCAGAATAATTTATTTTATTTCAATTCATTTATTGTTATATTATTTCATCTTATTCTATTGCTTTTACTTTATTTTAGAAACTGCTGTGAAGGCTGAGATTAGTGGGGCCTCTCAGAATATCCAGGTCAAAGTAGTTAATTATTTAAACCAAAGAGATCTTTCTTCTGAGCCCTTTTAGGTTGGTGGTGAAAAATAACCTCTGGTTGAAGATTGGGAAAGCAGGACATGAGGATCATGATTTAGTTCTACACAAGAATGACCTGTTCCTTTGTGCCTGCACAGTGTACGGGGCATGTGGGCATGGGGCAATATAAGAAAACATGAATAATAAAACTAAAGTATTCCTTGTTCAAGCAGCACAGCTCTAGCAGGAGAGGACTGGCAGATAGATAAGCCCACACTTCTTGTTCAGATTTAAGCCCCATTTAGGCAGTGAGGGTTTCTGCCTCCTGATCTCGATTCCTATTCTGAGAAAAGCTGCTTTTCTGATACATATCCTAATGCAAACTCTCCTTGATATCCCATAGGATCATCAATGGAATCAAACCCCTGGTGGGTGCTGCATATACAGGGATGGACCTGTAGCTGCCACCCTTTAGGCATAACTTTACAAAGTTTCAGTGGTTACTGGACTCATGGACTGCTGTAGGTCAGCATGCTGCTGACTGAGAGGTGTGTGTTCTCACAGCTGTCATCTATTCACTGTTGCTCCTCTAATTCTGAGGAACCACAGTGGCTCAAGGAGAAAGGAGTGCTGGGACAAGGGGCTTTACAGAGAAAACTGTGGGATTAAAGGATGGGGGTCAGCTGCTACCGTCAATAGTCTAAAGGCTTTGAGCCGGTGATAGAGCAAGATGGTAATAGCTGGGTTGCCAGCTGTTTCTGAAGGAGGACTAGAGAGGGGTGAGGATGAAGACATCTCAATAAATCATGTGAAAAAAAAAAAAGGAGCCTTCATAAGAAAGGTGCAGAGGAAGCACCATCAACAAGGATGGCTGCAGCATGTGGTGGGCAAGGAGAGACAGAGGGGAAAGGACCTCTTAAAAGTAAATCCAAGAGTTCGGTCACTTTACATCTTTCACTGTGCTCTGAGAATTTTTACTGGGTCACAGTCCCCCAACTTTCTAAATATATTTTCAATTTTAATAATATTTTAATATCAAACCAAGTAACTAGTGAACAGCATTGAAGTCAAGCACATGGATGCTGTAAATGACAAAGCAAAGTGGAAGACTAAGAGAATGAGAACGTATGACTGTGACAACAGTTTGGGATGTCAGGATTATCACATGATGGTTGGATAAAAGACAAAATATATTTTCTATTAATTTAGTTAAAGGCATCTGGGTTTTTTTTCACATATTGTCTCAAATTCTTTCATCTTCTCTCAGTGCCAGAGCTGACCCCTGTTGACTAAGTGTCTTGGTTTAGGGCAAATTAGTGAGAAAACCACCAAAGACATTCCTCTAGAAAGGAGATTTATGTGGCCCTTCCTTTAACTGGTTCGAGAAAAGATTTCTTTGGAGGAAAGTGGAAAAAAAACCTCTTTATTTAACAGGCAAAATATTCACGAGCACAAAAAAATTAACAATATTAAACAATATACCCTCTCACTGCTCTGAAATGATGACAAACTCAGAAAGTCCCTTTTGAGGGTTGTAGGTCAGCTCACTCAGTCTCTTATCAGTCCCTCTGGCCCTGGAAATGCCACAGCCCAGGCCCAGCCTGGTGGGCCACAGGTGTGAGCTGCTGGTGCTCTTCTGGGTGTTCAGTCCAGAGCAGGTTTAAATAGTTCCAAGGAAAAATAAAAACCACAGTCCAGACAAAGTCCCTGACTCAGTTAGCTAAATACTAACTAAAAAGCAAAGGAGAGCTCTATCTTGCTGTCTTGTCTGTCTGCTGACAACACAGTCCAGGAGAAGGATGTGGGGGAGCAAGTGCAGTTTCTGACAACAAACTCTGCGCTTCTTCTCAGCCCCAGCCCCCCTTCACTCTTGGAACCAGTCCTAAAGGTGCAAAACTTATTTCAGGGCTAAACTGACAAGGGGGGATACAAGCATCATAAAGTCACCCCAGAACACTAAGATATCTCTCACTGAATAGGTCTGTACTCAAAAAAGCCCACTCCTTTTCCTTCAGTAAAGAAAATAGCATGAATAATGTTTTTCCAAGGTTAAATGGAATCTTTATTTCTATAAGCAGGAAAAGAGTGCTTCTCAGTAGTACTACAATTGACTAAAATATCAAAGGGTAATTATTTTTTGACCCTATCAAAGAACACCTGTGATTAGCATTTAATCAAACAAGGGCATACAGTCCTAGAATCACCCTGTCATGAACTAATGAGGGTATTTTCTAGCCCAGAAAATGCTTCTCATTATCATTAGAGGCAACAGAAAAGAGCCTATGATGCTAAGGGTTTGTTCTCAAGTTCTGAGATCATGTTGCTGTAGCAAAACCTAATCTCTTTACCTCCTAATAATGCAGAGCTTTTTCCAGAAAATAGAAAAATACATAATTCATGAAGAATGACAGAATTGATGATGGAAGAATTTATGACAGAAGAATGATAATTGGAACATCTCAGATTTAAAGGCCATGCAAAGATCTTGCATTAGATCTATATGATATGGATGATTTAGATGGCAATATCTGTCCTATAAACTGAAGGCTAGGCCAGACATCCCTCATATAGACAGGACTGTAAGTCCAGAGTGCCTGCATTCATGACTAGACTTTGATCATCCACAGGAGGTAACAGGCAATCTGCAAAACTGAGAGTTGCAAATGGATTACAACTGTTAGAAGAGGAAGTGCAGGTAGCTGGGAAATACCTTTACTTACTTTGTAAACTTTACTTTTGAATCACCTGTTCCCAGAATCATGGGGTAAATCAGGCTATCCTGATCTGGTTTTGGTCTCACAGGTGATGTTATATCAACAAACAGCACATTGGTACTAGTGGGAATGATTTCCCATGTTCACTGGCATTGCAGCACTTCAGAACAGACTCCAGTGACAGATGGTCTGAGAGACCCACATTACCAATATACCAACAACCAAAGCATGTGCACCGAGAAAAGGACTAAAATTCCCAGGAGAGGAACTAGCAGGGAAAGAAGATCTCATTTCCTGATTTCCATTTATAGCCTAAAATAGTCTGTCTGCTATACCTGATCTTTGGAAAAACAGCGATTATGAAGACTAGTGGTATTCAGTTCCTGGCAGTGTTGCAGCACACTCATGGGGTACTTTGAGTTGCAAATTCTGCCTGGCAGAAACTCAGTGGAGTTAATCATATGTAGCAAATTAAACAAACAAACAAAAAAATTGGTGCGCTTAGGTGGATCTGCAGCAGCTGAATATTTTCTTACCCTCTCTGGGCAAATGCTCCCAAATTGTAGGCAATGAAGAAGGTAGATATAGAGGGCAGTGGTGAGTTTTGTATCCAGGATCAAACAACCTATATATGTATCTGCAATTTGTAGACTGAAGCAGGCTGAGAAATTTGTCTATATTCTTACAATAGTTAGGAATTAAAGCTCTCCTGCAGTGAAATTGTTGAAGTTAGTCCACCAACGTATGTTCTGACAATGAGGTGATGAATTACTGTATGCCCCAGCTCCTGTCCCAAGGAAGCAGGTGCTGCAGAAAGGGCTCCTAAAGTATCAGCAGTGGGTAGGATGTTCACTAGCCATGGGCTGACATTGCCAGCCACAGACATTTCAAGCAGTCTTGAAACTAACATGGATTTGCAGCATGGAAAGAAAGGTATGAGGCAGGAAGTCAAGGTAGTTTTGGCACAGCTCAGCTGGATGCAGATATCCTCATCCTGTATCCTAGCAGAAACAGCTACTGAATATCACCTTCTGCAGCACATCCTTCTGTTGCTGAGGAGGTTGCCTTGAACATTCTTGCAGAAATGCACCTTTTTGCCATAGTTGACTTCGGTGACACAAAAGAGTCTCAGTCCTGGTATCTTTCTCTCTAAAACCACAGAAAGAAAAAATTAATCTCTTGTCAATGGTTAGGGTTAAGTTATAACAAGCTAATGCAAGTTCAGTGTAACTAAGCCCAGAACTTACAATAGAATCATGGCAATTAGCATTTGTGGAAAGGAACACATCACTGCTTTAAAGGAAAACTATTTTGCCATTAGCTCAAAGTAGCTTGTAAAAGCTTTCACTATGACTAAGATCTGCAGTAACGTTGTAGATCATTCAGCCAAAGATTGTGGTATAATGCCTATTTATGACTTTAGCATTTTAAGGTTTTTGTGAAGTAAAGCTGTAGCGATCAAGCGGACTCCCTCACATCTGCTATGCCTTGGAAGAGAGCATGTGCCTGCTCAGGAATAAATTAGGAGTTGCATATTCAATCAAGAATACACATGTAAGGAGTTAAGAAGAACTGAATGCTAAACTCTCATCACCACTCCACAGGCATAAACAGAGCATGCTACAGTCACTTTGTTTGGAAAAGAAGACAATTCTGCTGGCATCCCACTGCAGCATCCCAGAGCCTCTCACCAAAAGGGTGGCTGGCTTCATCCCAGGGGAAGGAGAAGCAAAAGGTGCTCTTAGTTGAGAGATGTCCCAGATGTGCTTTGCATTCTTCCAAGAGGAAAGTAAATCAGTGTTTGTACCAAAAAATGGGCTGTGGAGCTGAAGCTTACACAAGGCTCCACAACTCAAAGATGCACCAAGTTCAGACCCATTACATATCTTTCCTGGGAAGATGCAAAGAGGATTGCGATGGCAATAGCCGTCCTTAGGAAGGCTCTGGGGGTTTTTCCTGGCAAGAGAGATATTTTCTAATAAATAACCACTCTTTCTTATGATCTAGCCATTGTCAGTGTCTAGAGGACATAAAATAGATCCTATCTGCCCAAAACAGCTCATAGAAATCAACTATAATTTTGTTTTCTTTACTGGGTAAAAGGAGGAAGATGGCTTTTAAATTAGAAATTGAAGCCCTTCCAGAATTCCAATATAAGATATCAAACCAATCATTCTTCACACAGTTACCTCCTACTCCATCAGCTCCTACTACCAAAAAAATTGGTTGTTGCCAACTCAGCTGAGTGAATAATTTGCAGTTTCATATTTGTTAGAGGAATTTTTCCTTTTTCTCTTTTCACTATTTGTCCACAAGCAGATTGATTTGCTTGAGTATCTTTTTTCCAAACACATGTGCAGTAACTATTCTGGAAGTAACTCTTGCTGTAGATCATTTGTGAGCAACTTGTTGCAAGAAGTCTTCAAACATTTGTCCCAAGTCCATTCATTCTATATATACACTTGAATCACATGTTGATTTCTGTGAACAAAACATCAAAAGAGCCAGTATTGAGTATTCTCCCTAAGAAAACTGAAATTATGCACAATTTCACCATTTAAAAATTACTTCATTCCTAGAAATAATGGCAGGATTCTCCTGGTCGTTGTAATGCTTGAATTAAAAACAAGGCTGTATTGGAATCCCAGCTGAAAAGTCTGACCAGGACCATGTTGGACACAGTGCAGAGTTCTTTCTCCATTTTTTAGAGGGAGGAAAGTACTCTCATCAGACTGTAAAACACTGTCTTTTAAAAGAGCAGTTGAAAGGAATGATTGCACTTTTCAATGGGAGCTAGATTGGGTACCTTGCATCCTCTCACAAAGAAAAGCATAAGCATTCGAGTGACTCTGACAATATGGAAAAGGAAGTAAAAGTCAAAACCCGAGTGCCATGGTACACCAGAGTTAAGGAGCTTCAGAAGTTCAAATCCAAGTCTCACAGTTGGCCTGAAATATTTGCTTTGAAGGCACCTGCAAAATACAGGCTTGGCTCTGGTTGATGTGCCAGGGAAATGCTTTGCAGTAAACAGCTGCTCCAGCTGCCACCCCAGCACTCTGTGATGTTAAGTAGGAAAAATGGAAATGAAAAAGTCATGGAATTCATGGATGATGATGTTTGTGATTGTAAATGGGACACAGACAGGCATGTCTTCCATTGTTCCTTACTATCCACTATGAAAACAGGAAGATTTTATTTAAAAATAAAATATATTTATTTAAAAGATTTTTTAATTTAAAAATTTAAAAAATCCACATAGAAATCCTGCTAGTGAGAAACCAATTGCCATTTTTTCAAATATGACTTTTGGAAAAGAAGTTTTATTTTATTTTTGCTCTCTATCTTCTTCTGAAATGATTTTTAAATCTGTCAGTGCAGAAAAGACTTAGTGCACTGTGTTCATGTCCTTAACTAGCACCATCTGAGACAGACTGAAATGTTAACTCTCGCTGCTCATGAACAACTCCTCAGATAATGTAGTTGTGACAGAAATAAGTTATTGATGTTAAGCATCAAAGTTCCCTGAACCCAAGGTTCAAACAATCAGTTTTAGGCTTGTCCACCAAGGTGGGTGCCAGATGCAGCCCAGTCACGGGGATGGGGGAGCCCCACCCACCTTGCCAAGGTCAGCAGAACCCATAAAAACCATGAGAGCTCTGGCTGTGGCACAGAGTGAAATCACCGTGAGACATTAAAATGAAATAATTATATTGTTGTAATCTGTATCTCATTTTGGTGATGTAGTTGAACACTGCCAATATGATGCTAGAAATCAATACAGCACAGCTCATGTCCTGTCATGTCACACTGCTGGCCCTTCAGAGTGAGAATCTGTTAACTCTGTACTCAGAAATCAAGTCCCTCAAGACAGGAAAATTATTATTAAGCTGAACAACAATAATTTACACTTCCAAAAGCTCCCTCCTTTTCCTTCCACCTGGAGCAGAACAGGGAACTCTTAGACAGTTTTACTGTCTGCTGAAGTGAAATTTTACTCTTTGGCAACAGCAAATAAATCCATATTTCTTCTGCTGAGTTGCTTAACTAGTGTGGTGCTGTATCCCATGCTCTAGAGAGGCCTGTGCTTTCTCCTCAGAGAAGGCAAAACTGCATGCAGGAGTGGAAAGTCTGCTTTGGAGCAGTGGCACAGCAGTTTCTGCACCAAGTGATGTGTACAGTATTCCCCTTCCTGTTCGATGCGGATCTCAAACATAATAGAAACTTTAAATTTAGTTTCCCTTATACTTTATGCTGAATCATATAAAATGTGATCAACTCAGAGGCACAGCATTATTTATTTACACTTTTCACCACTTGCTGGTATTTTTTTCCCAGCACCTACGTGCTGCAATTTCACATTTGGTACTGTGATACCAATGGAGTTTGTACCAATAGGGCCACGCAGTGAGGATGTGCTAGCATCAAATAAACTTTAAAAAATTAAAACTTTTTAAGAAGATAGAATCTTCCCATGCATTTCCTGTAATCAGTACAGAAACCTACCATAGTATACATCAGAGGGGAAAGTTACTATACTAAAAATCCCTGAACTCCACCTGCCTGACTTTGAATCTGCATGTTCAAGTTGACTACCTCACTGCAAGGGTGGCAGTCCCAAATCCAAGCCCCGTGAGCCACAGCAGGCAGGCTGTGACCCTGGGCAGCCCTGACAGCGGCACTGCTCTGGACCGCGGCTCTCTGTGCGGCTCCTGCCCACTCCCTGCCCGTGGCTCCCTTCCACCCGCTGCAGAATGGAATTTTTGTTCAGCTCTGTCGCACTGGGGTCTGCTTTGCTGTGTGAAATAGCACAAAATGAGGTACACCATGTACTCCTACTCTAGAGAGCAGGTATAATCTCCGTAATTATGCCACAACTGCACGGCAAATACCAGGTAAATACAGAGCAACTGCATGTTCCTGCAGCTTACTTGTTAATTATGCACCACTATTAATGAGTTCAAAGATAAATTATCATTGCAGGATTTAGGTGTCTGCTAAGATGGGTCATAATGAAATTCATGCAATTGAAGGCTTGCTTTTGTTGATTTTCCAGTGGAATGGGGAAGGAAAACAACTCACCTCATATGCCCAAAGGCTTAAGTGCATATCATGTCCTGGTACAGCAGAGGCACACTACCATACAAAATAACATGTCACAATTAGGAAAACTGGGTGAATAAAGAAACAAAAATAATTTCCAATACTAAATCACTTTTCAAATTCCATTTAGAAATCCTCCTAAGCAAATATGTTTAAAATCACTGGTATTACATGCAGTAGAACTGCTATCAGTTTCCTGGCTCAGTATGTAAACTTGTATGGACTAAAATCAGAGAAAAACATCAATTCACTGATATCATTGCAGCAAGAACAGGGCTCTACCTATACAGCTTGCCTGGGCTCTTGAAATAGTGTATTTCTTATGGCATCAGACATAGATCACCATGTGAGGCCAGTTCACAGCTAGCTCTCCTCTGAGCTGCACTGCAGTATTTTGGATGACAACTTGTTACTTTTAATAGGTATTTTAATAGTATTCAAAAAGATAAAATTAGCATCTCTATAAACATTGTTCTCCAAAGTGAAGCTTCCCTTTAAATTATGACTCCATGACGGTTGTTTGGTCAGCCATTTATAATGACTTTTACAACCTGTGTGGGATCACTTTGAGTTTTATTTGTAATTTTTTTAAAATTTCATTAATCTCATATAATTTTTTTTCCTGAAAGGTGTTGATGTTTCTGAGCCTTTTTGCTATTAAAAGTTCTTGATCTATTTCTTCCCAAAAATGTCCAGAGTCTATTTAAAAAGAAGATGTTGGTCTTTAGGGATTGCAAAATCAGGACTAGCAGAGACAAAATAGCCAACTGTTATTTTCTGTTGCTTATGGAAACCTGAGGTAGAGAATGAGACCCCACTCAAACTAGCTGTGCATAACTGCAGATGAAAACAGCAAATAGCATCAGATACGGAATGACTGTTGGTTTGAATGGGTTTATGTTTATATAATGTACATTGACTTCAAATAAAAGGGAACTTTTCATCTCCAGCACTGTGAACAGGGCAGTCTAATTGAGGCTCCTTAGCACAGCTGCTGCAGCTGATGGAATCCTCTGAAAATGGAAACCTGGACCATAAGGAAGAGAAGGCAACATACCTTGTTTACTTTCACTCATTTTACTCCCTCCTCAGTCTACCCTAGAGCCTCAAGAACTGTTTGTAGGTTCTCCTAAAACACAGCCATCTGCCAAAGTGAATACAAATGATGTTTCTTCACTCCCAGGGTTCTTCTCTTGCTCTCCCTGAAATCTGCAGCAAGATTCTTGCTCTCTTCAGTAGCACCAGGCACAGGTTAACCAGGCCTTGAAAGTCCCCTAATGAAAAAGAGCTAAAAGTACTGAATGGGAAAGATATTAAGAACTATTTAGGAGAACATGGTTTCCTTGAAAGGCTAATTTTCTTGAGAGTTACCCATTAAAAAAAAAGTTTGATCAATGGGAGAACAAATTAAAAATTAAGAATCTCTCATAAAACCAAACAGTGGAATACTGCATTCAAGAGGACAGTCACAAATTAAAAGAAATGTCAACATATCAAGTGGCAGAACTTCAAAAGGCAATTTTTTCCCCTCATTTCCATAGGCATTCTTCATGAGCAACATCAAGAAGTGTAACATGCTAATAGCTAATAACAGGATAATATTCACTAATTTACTAACTGAATAACTTAATGTGTATCAAAGGAGTAGTTTTCAGATTAAATTTCTTTTTTTTTTTAGATCTAACACTAAGATGGGTATTATCAAGTAGACAAAACTGCATAGTTTACAAGTCATGACTAAAATAGTCATTTTAGAATTAAGATTGCTTTTTTATGTTGGATGTCTCCTTTAGGTTTAAGGAATCACATACCATTTATCCTCATTATAACTCAGATTTCAAAAAAGAAATCAGGAAGGTATCTTTGTGGACATGTGATGTTTTGCTAAAAACAGTGTTTTGCAGAGACAGATCTGTCATGATCTTAAAATCTGAAAATGCTGAGGACTGCAGAGGGAAGAGGTTACCCAGAGGGGGATACCAAACATTTGGCCAGGTAAAATCACAGCAGACCTAATCCAGTGTTGGTTCAGTCCTGCTTTTAGCAGAAGGCAGGAGCTGATTTGAAGGCCCTGTCCAACCAGTATTTCTATGGTATAATTCAGATTTAAGCCAGTGGTGTTATGAAAATCTTAACATAGATGATGTCAAACAACTAACTTAATATTCACACACCAGAAAGGAGGAAGGACGACACACCTCCCCAGCTGGCTTGTTTTCTCAAAGCCAACTCCTCGCCAACAGGACACACCACTGTAATATGTCACACACTGGTATCACCTTTGTCTTCTCTTATCTCAGCCACAAACATGAGGTGTTGTTATACCCCTTTAATGGGGAAGGTCAGGCTGTTGGAACTAATGGTTTTGTGACATACAGAGCAATATTTGCAATTGGGATAAAAACAATCTCATGCTGCCAAGACATTAGTAATTCCACTTTCTTGGAAATATGCTGTCACTGTCACTGCTACATGTAAAGTTGTCATATACAGATAACTTCCTCCAAGGAAAAAAAGCATGGTTCAACAGGCTTTTCAAGGACAAGGACCTCTCTGCATCTGTTTTTTCTCTCCTTCAAAACCATTTGCTTCCAGTCACAAATTTTCAGAGCTGCAGCACCATTGGGGTGATACTCGTGGTGATTTCAGTGAGAGACAGGCATAAGCAGGGCTGGCTTGGCCAGGCTGTCCCATGATGCCCACTCAGCGGAACCAGGCAACAGGACACAGTGGAATCCAGCAGGGAATGGCTTTCTTTGGTTTGTTTCCATATTTTTGCACACTGTATCTCTTTGTGTGAATGCCTGTGTGCCTTACACTGTGAGAAAAACTAGAATTTCCTGATCTTCCTTTATACCACACAGTATTTTTCATAGCCTTACAGTATCTTTTATTAATTTACTTTTAAAAATAGACACTCATAATCCTTTCAAATTCTGCATCTACAGAATGTCAAAGTATTTCAGTGAATTTTTCAGTCCATTTATATTCCAGCTGCTTGGTGCTGGAGTCAGACATGTGGAGGTAGTACTGCAGGCAGCAAAGAAGTCCAACTTCTCTGCACTTCTCCTTGCTGTAATTATTGATCTCTAGAGAAACTGACCCTCAAACACCAAAAAACCTTTCTGTGAAGCCCAACTGTTTAGCAAAGACAATGGGACCAGTGGGCTTTTAGTTTAAAAAGACAGCCATTGTCCCTCCACTGAGGAGGAGCTGAAATTTATTTTTAACTTCACACTTTTCTATACATCATGACAAAAAGCTGAATAATTCTATTTTCATTTAGGAGGAAATTACAAGACAAAGAAATAGTCTGATAGATTTTAGATTAGAGCTGCTTCCCGGAGAGCAGGGGCTATTGCATGTTGGTCCAAGAAAGAGATAATCTTCTTTTCCCCAGTACTGTCAGCTGGGCCAATATATTTTCAAGAATTGCTGCACTAAACTGAGAGTTCTTCAACATGATGCTTCTGCAAATTTAGATCACTCTCTCTCTGTCAGCACTGAGATTAAGAAGTCATGAAGGTAATCTGCATCATAGTGATATTATAATGATTGCTCTGAAATGGAAAAATATCACACATCTGTTTGTATTCTCCAACTTGAGACATACCTTTAGGAAGTCAGTTTCTGATGACACGTTTGGGCAAATGATGCTTTATCTGAGTGCTTTTTCCATGCATCATCCTGATCTGGGAACCTGAATGCCATAAGCAGAAAGCTATGTTAATTGTACAGTTTTGGAAGTCAATGTAGTCCAAAACATATTCTTCAAGACCATCAGCCCCACAAGGTCTGCTCCAGAAGCTAGAGATGTCGTGTATCTGTTACAGGAATCACAGAAAGTGTTTTTAACAAGAATCTCCAACAAAGAGCATCTTGGCCTTATGGATGTGACATATTTCTGTTTCCTAAAACTAAAACTCACTACATGTATTAACTGCTACTGTAAACACAAGTGCAAATAAAAGACTTCTACTGTTGCTGGATTCCTCGTCTTCCTCAGCAAAATTACTTTCTCATATTGAGTTACAGTTAAGAATTGTTAACTGTGGTGTAACTTAGAGCAAAGACAAAGTCAAGTCCAAGGAATTTGCTTCAGCTTGTGACACTTCAAATAAAGCCTCTATATTTGTTTAGATCATAAAATTCAAAGTATGAAGTATAGAGAAAATAATCATAAAAGTATAGAGAAAATATGTGCTACAAAAATAGAAGTTTCTTACTAAAGCAGTTTTTATGGAAATGCTCACAGCTGAGCTAGTGTTATTTGCTTCTAATTTGGGCTTTTCTTCTCCATACTGTACGTTAACAAACTTAAGCCACTTAATGCCAAGTGCCTTACACATTTTTCTGTAATTAAATTTCTCCAAAGAATCACATTACATGAGCATTTGCCAATACAAAAAGCACACTCAGAGATTCTGGGTAAAATCCAGGCACCCCTACAGTAACCAGTAAAATTCCCATTGAAGACATTATTCTACTGTACAGATCTTTGCTATATATGGGTAATAAAAATTATCTTCTCACTTATGAATTAAGTTCTTCAGTACACTAATTCTAAGAACCTCAGCTCTGAATGAGCTCCACACTAGCACTTACCACCTCCCTTACAAGCTCCCTGTCTGTGGATAGAGGTAGGTACTCAGTCTAATAAACTGCAGTTTTACTACAGAGTTTGAGCACAGGATTGCCTGCACTGAGCTCTGGGAGAAACCCAAACCATTAGAATTTAGGGATTCTCTTAACTGTTCACTGATAAGTTATAGGTGATTAGTACACGAAAGTAGTGCAAAAATTAAGAAGATTTAGGACAAGCTTTATGATCATTAACAGAAGACCATGTGTAACAATTTGCTTGTATTTCATTTCGAGCTATTTTTTATCTGAGATGCTGAAGTGGGTAGTTCTGTGATTCTTCCTCTGACACAGGTTTTTATCATCATTTTTTCTTCCATAACTCAGCCATACCTTGCTGTGGGATTTGATGTTTGGAAAAAAAAAATCAATCAAATCTGCTCTAGGCCAGCACTGCTCACTAAGGGCATGAGTGGGAGCTGGTGCCTGCTCCTGCCACGGCTCTTGGGCTATCACCATCCTGCAGCTGCAAGAAGGACAAAGGGCTGAGGGCTGCTTGTTTGCTTCAGTGCAAAGTTACTTTCCTAAATGGTATTTTTTTTGCAGCTCTAAGATGTTACCTAGTTACCAGTGAATCAGAGCCTGGTAACCACTCAGAGAATTCTGGGTTTATTTACAACAAGGTAAGTGACCCTGAATAAGTCAGGCTGGGGACACTTAGGCTGTCCAATTGTACAATAGGATGAGACTCACACAAAATTTTTTTGAAGTGTTAAGATTAAACTTGTAGTATGAAATTCTTTACCATTAGTCTTGACAACACTAATTCTATTTAAGATCTGTTGAACTGGCTTAAAATTAAATTTCAGGTTCCCTTCACCTGCAACCCAGCCCTGAAGCTGTCAAACCCTGTGTTGTCCATCCCATGCCAGAACTTCCCATTTGGCTGGAAGATTGCTATTAGAAGACCATAAGTGGATACCAAAAAAAAGAGGAAAAAGTGAGATTATCCAATTACCTAATTCTGCAAACAGCCATGTTTGCTTGCTTCAGTTTTGAGAAAGATTACTTTCCAAAATTTAGTTTCCTGATGGGGCTTAATCCTCCCCTTTTGTGGCTCTGGACCATCCATACCTCCTGCCTCCTCCAGTGCTGGCTAAACAGGGTTGCTAAGCGACATGTTCTTCTCTTCTGTACTTTAGCAGAGAGGAACAGATCAAAGACACCCACAGCCCTGAATTACTTTATAAATGAATTTAAAGAGACACTCTCCAGTGCTGTATTACATGGGGGAGATCAAAAGTTGCTGGGTATAGTGAGAGTAACTGGAAAATTAAACTGATGTCTTCTGGAAGATAAGAATGCTCTCATAAATGAAAGATGTGTAGTATTTGCCTTTTTTCTTGGTGTTTTGGTTTTCTTTTTTCTTTTTCAGAACTCTATTACAATTTTTTAATGCTAATTAACATTTCTAGTTTCATGGTAGTCAAGACATTGAGTGCAGGCCAGGCTGCATGTGTGTACAACTTCCAGAAGTTTCTGTCATTGAGTGACAAGCTTGCAGCAGGGTTTTAACGCTTTTCATCTTTTATATCTATTATACAAAAATATTTAATTCTTTAATTTTTTTTAACATTTTAAACATTCCTGACTGATCTTAGGCAAGAAAGCCACAGGACAAAGTTAAAATGATGTATCTTTAAAAGAATAAATGAAGATATGGAAGTAACCTGTGCAGATCAGACAGAAAACCTATGACACCAACATCTCAGATCTTGCTGAAGAGAATGAAAACCAAATTACTAACCTGTAATTACAAAAGCTGGGAATACACAAGTTTAAACATTGTCTTACAAGATCTTCACTTTCCTGGCATCAGCTCAGCTCGACTGCTCTGTGCAAGCTGTGGGGTTTGTAGGAACAGGCTGGCAGCTGAGGCACATGCTTGCTGAAACAGAAAAGGGAGGAATTATTTGCCCTTGTACCTACTCAGTTTCAAATACCATCAATGATGTAGAAGGAAAAAAACCCCAGCACTCGGTAACAAAGTGCAAGAATTTTTCATGACTTTTCATTTCCAAAGTTGCCACGGCTTGTACGGCCCTCAGAAAATGGGGAGACACACAAAAAACACACTTAAAAGCTTCCTCAGACAAGCAAGACAGATGATTTATATAGAAAATAAAACTCTCAGGTAAGTTTGCTGCAAAAAATTGCATGTAAAATTTTTCCCACATGCGAATCTCATTGCTCTGTAGCAGCCACCTGAGCTGCACAAGCAAATGTCTCCTTTAGGGCTGTTTCAGGGCCTTGCTCAGGCAGAGGTGCTCTTGCAGCTTCAGGCACAACACCACTGGGGGAAGGAGTGCACAGAGGATACCACTCTCTTCACTGTGTGCCTGGTCAGAGAATGGAGCAAGCTCCTCACTCTTGTCCTAGGCCAGCAATCTCACATCAAACTGAGGGTAGATTTGTGAAACTAATACAGACTAATATAGTCTGGGACTATAAAGTGATTAATCTCACATAAATCTTCACACACACAAAAAAAGAACAAAAAAACAAAAAAACACAAACAACCAAACAAAAACAAACAGCATTAGGATTCGTTTACATGCATTTTATTTTCCAATGAGAAAAAAAGCCTCCCTTTTGTTCCTGCATCATTAACAGTCTCATTAACAGTCTCTTCCGAATTTTGACCGATTATGTTTGGCATGTAAAATCCACTGTACTAAAGCTAACCTACATTCTCTTAAAAGCATGTATTTTTGAACAGGGTTCAGCCAGCTTCCCCATTTGTAGATATCAATTACACAGGCAAGATAAGTGCTTTACTGTCACTGACAGAATGTTTTATGTATAAACATCTTGACCAGCACTACACTGCCCATGGATAGCACATTTGGTGTGTTTTGGCTGAATTTCTGAAAGGGAAAACTGTGACTTGCACTCTAAATATTTTTTCTGGAGAATAGATTCCTCCACACACTATGAGCATCTTGTACAGAATACAAGTAAACATTTGGGAAGGAATTTCATGCTTATGGCAGGTATTGATTTGCTAGCCTTGGAAACTCTACTCCCTTGGACTCACTGCACAGCACAACTCTGGCAGTGTGAGCTCTGCAGGCTGGCCACATTCCCACCACATCACTGCTCCTGCTGCAACAGCAAGGAGAGAGTCAGAGAACCCTAGAGTTGAATGGCTTGGAATGGACCTCAAAGATCATTCAGTGCCACCCCTGCCATGGGCAGGGACATCCTCCACTATCCCAGGATGCTCCAGGTCCTGTCCAACCTGGCCTTGGACACTTTCAGGGATGGGGCTTCCACAGCTGCTCTGGGCAGCCTTTGCCAGGGCCTCACCACCCTCATGGCCAAGAATTTCTAATATCTAACCTAAACTTGTCCTCTGTCAGTCTGAAGCCATTATCCCTTGTTTGGTCACTCCAGGTCCTTGTGAACAGCCTCTTTCCATTTCTTTTGTAAGGTCCCTTCAGGTACTGGAAGGCTACAACTGAGTCAGCCTGAAGCTTCTCTTCTCCAGGCTGAACAGCCCCAATGCTCTCAGCCTTTCCTTGTAGCAGAGGTGCTCCATCCTTCTGATCATCTTGGCGGCCTCCTCTGGACTTGCTCTAACAGATTGATGTTCTTCCTGGCTGTGCAAGCAGCTTGTTAGGATCTGCATTTCTGGTGAGTTTATTCAAACATTTTGACCATGCCGTGTTCAGGGATGCAGTTCAATCAAGCTAGTATTTTATCTTAATGGAAAAATGATCTGAAGTGGCCTTGTTGTAAGAATTTTAGTTAATTTTTATTAATATTGGTAGAATTTTGTTTAATGAATGTAAGTAAATTTGATTCACTGCTTCTCTTTCCTTACTTCCAGAATCCTGCAACAACCTGTGGTACAGCTAGGCTGTTGGATCCCAGATGTGAACAGCCCAGGCTGGGCTTAGGCCTGGGAACAGGAGATGATGCTCTTGACATGTGGGAAGGCAGTGAAGGCCTTTGAGAACATTAATAACATTAGCTGATGCTTCTACAGTGCTGTGCCTGCACCTGCTTAAAGCTCAACATAGACTATGAGTAATTACTGATCTGGATGTCTCTGAAAATAGCAGCAGCATTTAAATTATCATTAAAATACAATTAGCAGCCCTTTGAACAGAATGCTGCCATTCAGAGCAGTCTAATTGGTGGCTCGTGGGCCAGTTCTGGACAACAGGAAGATTGTCTGCTTCTCCAAATGCACCAGCTCAAGGAGCACCCTGTCCCAGGAGTGGTGGCTGTGCCTCTGGGATGGATATGGGAGAGCCATTATGTGACAGGAAAGGAACAGCACAAACTATTCCTTATGTCCAGGCCACTACTTTGAAAACTCTGCATTTATGAACCTCATTTCATTCTGTGTGTGCTGATTCAAGTAGGCGCAGCACCAGAACTTTATACTTTGCATTTCAAATAAATTTAATGTTTTTAAATACCTCCATTTTAGACTCTGCAGCAAGAACTGTAGGGATGAAATACGGGCAGACCATGGTAAGACACGCAACTATGTGATCCACATCTACAGGTGGTGTGCTGGCAGACTGTGCTGCTGTGCGTTTGGGCAAGATAAAGATATCAGCTGCTGTAGCAGACTGAAAGTGAAGGTCTGGCATGGATGGTATTCCCAAACCTGGCAGCCCTACCCCACATTTAAGTAGCTAATTCTGTTACTTCCATGCCTGAGATACTTGTATTAATCTCAAAAATGCCAACAAAAATGACATGTTTTTAAAGTGCTCCAAGTGATAGCTGCTCTTCTGAAATGGCCACAGTAGATGTATTTTACCTCGGATGTGCTCTCATGATACCACTGGCAAGTGCATCTTATCTGTTATAATATCAACCTGTAGAATTCTACTAGTATCTTTTTGTAATATTATTGGTAGTCTCGCAAAAACTGCAGTAGAATAGGCTTTAAACCCAGGCTTTTTGTATGTCTCAAACCACTGCCACAGGAACAGCGCACTACTTACTGTTCCAGGTTTTTGAAGAAGCAGTGCTACTGCTCCCCAACAGCTCTCACTGCCTGCTCCATAATGCCCTTATTATTTATACTTTTTCTCTTGAAAATTCAAGTTTAGAACTTAAAATTTTCATGCTTTTGTTTCTTAAAACTAATCAAAGGCAGCTAATGGCCCTGATGTAATCTGTGTAGAGTGTGCTGTGGCTGAGCATCCACTGCTGTGAAAGCGCCGCTTGTTCTCTGAAAGGAGGAATTCTTTCAGCCAGCGACTTTGCCCCCTCCTCCTCCAGCTTGCTTCTCCCAGGCGCTTGGAGGACTCACAGTCAGTCATTTTCTTGCCCTAAAAGTTTGCTGGAGCAACACCATCATACTCCACATTACCCCACATATGCCAAGGGCCAAACTTCTAAAAGGCTGGCCTCTATGGACAATCAGAAATGTTGAGTTTGAGCATAGCAGTGGCTCCAGTAAAGTATGCTACCTTTTGAATAATCTTTTCTTTGGATTGGTGGTCCCTAGAAAGCTGATGCAGAGACCAATAAGTATTTTAAATAAGTCAGTGATATGCCTTCTACATTCACATCTTTGTCCTAAGAGGAAAATCTTCCATCCGAAGTATCACAGATATTTAAAAAAAGTTATTATATGCTTAAGCAAGATGGTGTTTGTTGATATTTTGTGGAGATACCTGAATGTGAAAAACCTCCTCCTATAAATGTTGTGTGATGGTGTATAGTTTAATTGTAGCAATGTAAGAGACAAGAAAGGGATGTCACACGTGGTAGCAAATATGATGATACAAAATCAGAGCAAGATTGCAACAAGTGACAAATTTTATCCCCAATACTTTTTCAAACCTCAACATTTTTTCTTCAATTTATTTTATTTTTGCAACTTTTTCCGACTAAGTGACAGGCATGCCTAGAACTGCAAGTGCTTAAGTCGCAATGCAGAAAAGCACCTGCCCACAGGGTGAGCCCATGGCCACCTGTAGATCTGGCAGTGAGGTGAAGGCTGAGAGCTCTTCTACAGCAGCAAGAATGGGGAAGTTCGGGGGTGGCAGGTCCACAGCAAGATGCACCAAGGTGAGAAAAGAGGAGAAATATTAAGGGAAATTACACTGAACAAGTGTTTCCCATTGATAACTTATTTATCTATTCCTCCCAGGCAGACATACCTTTCAGGTCACAGTGGCTAGTCTTTTCCACAGTCTGTGTCCATGTTCATCTTGCTGTGGGACTGACTTTCCTTAACAGAGCAACCAAGACTAAACTGATAACATTCACCTCTGCTCTTGCTCTGACATGGTTATTTGTTAGTTCTTCCTAATGACTGTTCAGTTCCTTCCTTTGAGGGAGCCACTCCTAATTTGCCTCTGTTCAGGTTGGATAATGAGTCACTGGCTTTAATAGCAACTGCTATTAACCCTTCCTTACACAACCAGCATCTGGGAACTGTGGAACACGTTGTGTCTCAGTGCTAAGCAAGAAGATTGATGAATCCTGCAGGCTTTCTGTTGCTGGTTGATGAAAAACACTTTCTTTGTCTTGTGTCTTTAATTAATTGCTCTTTGAGTCTAGCTTAATCTACCTGCTTTCCAGAGTAATTTTGTTTTCCATAAATTTAACTTATTTTCCACTGTCTTCTTGTCTGACCAAACTTTTAGTTTATATTAAATATTAACCTTGCTTCCCCTTATGCTTTTCCTCTCTCTTTCTTCTCATTGGGAAGGGAGGGCTGTGTTTGTGGCTGGGCACAAGCTGGCAGTGCTCAGTTCTGCTGTGCCTCCCTGACTCCAAAGATGCTGACAGCCAGGCTCCTGGTGGCAGGTGCTCTGGACTAGTTTGCTTCCTAAACAACAAAACAGAAAAAAATACATCTTTTATTTATAGAATATTTGGCATTCCTAAGACTATTGAGCTTGAAGACCCTGTGAGACAATTAATGATAAGAAGTGAATTCTTCTTGACTCAATTATTACTCACAAGACTACTTACAGAATGGCTTGTTTGTGATCAAGCTTTGCACTACTGGAGTATTGGATACATGCAGGGCTGTCTGAAAGTCTGATTTTTAGACACCTCATGGATGGCAGTATGTGTTATTTTGAACAAATTTTGGTAATTTTTAGAATATTTGAAATTCTGAAGTTCTTTCTAATTGATCCCCTTTCCTTATATTAGCACTATTGGCCTGCTACCATATTTTGTGTGTTCCTCAGAGAGTTCCAAATAGTTTTATGATTTCGATGTTACTATAACATATCTATTCTTATAGGGTAATTTAAGAATTCTAAGGGAAAAATAGTTCAGAAAGAGACCAGAATATTTACTTAGGAAACCACACTCTCAGATTACAGCAAAAACAGATTTCCAAAAAGAAACATACACTTGTCATTGATTACTTCCATAGCTTTTCCAGGATTCTTTACTCCATCATCCTGATGCTGCACCAGTTGGGCTCAGACACACACCCATGGCATTCACTGCCTGGAAGTGAGCTGGCCCACTCCTGCTGCAACAGCTATTCCCTGCTGGGAATATTTACTGTGGGTGCCAATCCAGCCTGACTGAAATCTCATTAACAATATGCTTTTCCTCATTAATAAAGCATATAATAATTAATAAAATATTAATGCAAACATACAGCATCAGCAGCTTGATACTTCCTGTAGTTTTCCAACACCTGAACAGCAGAGAACTGCACAGATGTTGTGGTATTACTGCACTGATAAACTTGCAGGAAATCTCTGGAGCTTGGGCACCTTGGCCTTTTAAGAAACGATTTCTTCTGGTAAAATCAAAGACAGTTAATTCCTCACTGCCTGTGCAGTGAAGAACAGATTTCTTCCAGTAGTTGATACTAATGCTCATGTATGCATTTCTTCCCTGATAGTTGATACTTATGCTTATTTACCAGCTATGGCAACAGTTTGGCTGCCCTGTGGATGGCAGATCTCAAGATGCAAGCAGTTGCCACTTTAAGCATGTCTAAGGTGAAAAGGCTACCAAAATTCTTGAGGAAGGTGATTGTGAATCTCTATTCTGCACTGGCGTGGCCTCACCTCAAGTCTTGTGTGCAGTTTCAGGTGCCACGATACAAGAAAGATCTTAAGCAATTAGAGAATATCCAAAGGAGGGCAGTGAAGATGGTGAAGGGTCTGGAGGGGCCCTACAAAGAGTGGCTGAGGACACTTGGTTTGCTCAGCTGGAGGAGGGAAGATTGAGGTCAGACCTCACCAGGGCTGCAGCTCCTGCCGAGGAGGCAGCTCCAATCTCTGCTCCCGAAGACAGGGACAGCACCCAGGGAACAGCTGGAGCTGGGCCAGGGGAGGGTTAGGCTGGGTATCAGGGAAAGGCTCTTCCCCCAGAGGGTGCTGGGGCACTGAACAGACTCCCCAGGGTTTGGCCATGTCCCCAAGGCTGCCAGAGCTCCAGGAGCATTTGAACAACACTCTCAGGGATACTCGGGGTGGGATTGTTGGGGAGTCCGTGCAGGAGCTGAACTCGATGATCCTTGTAGGTCCCTTCCAACTCGGGGTATTCTACAACCTGGAAGCTTTACCAGCAGCAGCCAACGCTCAGCCGGGATAGGCCAGGCCAGCCGGTCACCTTTCCTGGAGGCGCTATGGCCAGGTCGGGTGCGGCATCAGGCCAGGAGCCCCGCGGCGCCTCGCCGGAACCGAACCGCTGCGGGAACACTTCTCCTGCCCTGTCACGGCCGGACACCCCCGAGCAACACGTGCCCGGGGCGCCGCTCTCCCCAGCTGGGCCCGCCACGGCGGCCGTGGGGCTGATGGAGCGCTGCTGGGGCTAGGACCGGGCCATGCCGATCCGAGCCGAGCCCGGAGAATTCTGCCCCGGATCCCGCCGCCGCACGCCGCCCCCGGCCTCCTCCACCTCCTCCTCCTCCTCCCTTCTTCGCTGCCTCCCCTCCCCTTCCCCGCCACTCGCTTCCGCCGCGCTCCCGCGCATGCCCGGGTTATGCAACGGCCCCGGCGGTTGGGCCGGGCCGGGCCAGAGCCGCAGGGCAGGGCAGAGCAGGGGGCCGTGAGGGGTGAGGGGCCCCGAGCACGGGCGGCGCCGAGGGCGCTCCGCTCTCCCCGCGCTCCCGCTGCGGCTCCGCACGGTGTGTGAGTGGCAGCGGCACCGCCGCCAAGTCCCGCCCGTTCCGCTCTCGCTGCCGCAGGCGGCGGCGGCGGCGGCGGGTTGGCTTCCTGCGCGCCCGGCCGCTCCCCCGCCCCCCGGCAGTCGGAGCCGCAGCCGCCCGGATCCCCGAGCTATGGCTCTGTGAGCGCAGCACATGGCGGCCGCGGCAGCCATGAGCCCCCCACTAATCTATACAACTCCCCCCTGATCGGCCACCGACGGCAGCCAGCGCTCCCACCCGGCTCCACCGCTCCCACCGCCCGCCCGCCGCCGCCGCGCCGCCCGGCTCGAGCCCAGACCCCGCTGCTGCCGCCGCCGCCGGGCCCCCGCTCGCCCGCCCGCCGCCGCCGCCCGGTCCTCACCATGGGAGTGCAGGGATTCCAGGACTACATCGAGAAGCACTGCCCCAGCGCCGTGGTGCCCGTCGAGCTGCAGAAGCTGGCGCGGGGCAGCCTCGTGGGTGGGGGCCGCCAGCGGCCCCCCCAGACCCCGCTGCGCCTTCTCATCGACGCCGACAACTGCCTGCACCGGCTCTACGGCGGCTTCTACACGGACTGGGTGAGCGGCGGGCAGTGGAACCACATGCTGGGCTACCTGGCGGCCCTGGCCAAGGCCTGCTTCAACGGCAACATCGAGCTCTTCGTCTTCTTCAACGGCGCCCTGGAGAAGGCCCGGCTGCACGAGTGGGTGAAGCGCCAGGGCAACGAGCGCCAGACGGCGCAGCAGATCGTCAGCCACGTCCAGAACAAGGGCACCCCGCCGCCCAAGGTCTGGTTCCTGCCGCCCGTCTGCATGGCGCACTGCATCCGCCTGGCCCTCATCCGCTTCCACATCAAGGTGAGGAGGAGCCCGGGGTCCCCCCCGCCCGGGGGTCCCGGCGCCCCCTCCCCGCCGCTCCCTCCCGGCTCCAAGATGGCAGCGGGGGCTGCCCGCGGGGGGAGGGAGGGCACCCTCAGCCGCTCCCCTCAGCGCCTCAAAATGTCGCCCAGACCCGCGGGGGCGGCACAACTTTCGGCGGCCTCAATCCCCGAGGAATTTTGACTTATTTACATGGCATTGCCCGCCGCCTCGCCAAGGCCGGAGGCCGGGAGGCCTTGGCGGGGCGACTGGCAGCGCCCATGGCCCGGCCCGCAGCAGGGCGGCTTCTGCCTCCATGTTCTTTCGTTCTGTTGCCTCAAAATGTCCCTTCTTGCCTTGTGGGCTGTGGTGCGGCAGGGGAGAGCGGGTGGGCGAAAAGCATCTCTATAGTTATTAAGGGGAGATAAAAATAATTAATCGGTTTAGTTCTCGCGCAGAATGGATCTGCAACAAGTTCTCGGCTGAGGCGAGGTGTTTTAAACTTGGGCTGAAGGCGAAATGCCCCGCTGCAAAAAACAGAGGGGTGCCACTTCTGGCTTTATGGAGGTTTTCGTGTTTGCTCAGGGTTTTCTCAGTATCAACAAGCTTTTAGAACCAGTTGTAGACTAACTGGCTCCTTACTCCATAAGCAACACTTCTAGTTTGTGCAATCGGCAGTGCCAAGCTGACAGTCCTTCTTTTAAACGCCTTATTTTAAGGGGCAACCTCACTTTTCCCGCCCCAGAAACTGCCCTTCATGTCGGAGCTGGGCTCTATGGCCATCTTGCGCTCGAAGGCTAGGATTTCAAAGGTTGCAGGATATGACCACGTCGAATCTCTCCACATGGCGTTCCTGATTTAGGATGGTTTCTATTCAGCTGAGCGATTGTCTATATTGAAACAAAAGACGCTGGAAAAGCAATCCCAGGGATGAAGCTGCAGTTTCAGGAGTTGTCTGCTCACCTTCCTGCTGGTGGGGGAAGAGCAGCAGGAGGAAAACACGTACTCGTAGGCTTTATTATCTTAAATTACTTGTGTAGAAAAATATTATGTTACCTTCGGAATTGCTCGGTCACTAGTAGCACCTTAATGTTACTTGGCCTTTCAGCGGATTAGAAACATTCTGGCTGGGCTGCAGCCCTGGGGTACAGAGGCCTCTCTCCAAGGAACTCACCCCACAGGTGTCTTGGGGTGAAGTTCCTTCTAGTACTGCCAGCAGGGTGGGAATCATGTTGCTCCCTCACAGTGCCCTGCTCGCTGGGCCCGGCCCATCGGTGGAGGAGCACCGAGCTAGAGCACAGCCATCCTGAGTTCAGGCCACTCGGCAGTGGAGGTCCCACCCTGTGGTGGCCCCAGCCGTGGTGGGGATTGGGTCACCAGGCCGGGGCTGCGGCGCCAGGCCAAGCCGGTATGGAATGAACTGGAAGTGGAGGTGAAGCTTGTTCTTGCAGGGCACATGCAGCTTTGCCAAACGTGATGCCTTGGGCTTAGCCTTGGTCAAAGTGAGGAGGTTATGGCTGTGTCTGCTGCAGTCATTTTTCCTGGTCATGGTAGAAGCCAAGTGGTGTTATGTTTTTTGGATGGTGGGAATTTGCATGATAAGTAAAACATCCTATCATTTGAACTTTTGGAGACCTTTTGTAGCTAAGAAATCATTTTGTTCTTTCAGCAAAAAGTTTTAGGGCCCATGCAGTGAAGGTCCTTACCTTGACCAGTTTGTGGTTGCATTACAAATCTTCCTCATTTGTTATTGAGACCTAGAGATCATTAGTAAAAGCAACGAATGGGGTAAAATAAGGATTTTTTTTCCTTTTAATGTGTTAGAGACTTGTTTTAATGCAATATAGAAATGCATAGTACTCAACAGGAAGCCAGCTGTTTTGATATCAGTGGGAATTTAGTGCTTCCAGTAGTTTTGTGGTATGTTGAAGTGGCTGTTCATTTGTTAAGCATTTTCTGTTACAGACCTGACTTGGGTACATTAAATCTGAACAGAGTTGCTGCATTTCACAGTGGTATTACCTGTAGCATTTTGTTTACTTTCCAGTGTAGCAGCTTTAGCTCATTTATGGTTTCTTGGTGACAGGCCTTATTCCTAATCTATGGAAGCAATTATTAGAGTGTAAGCACACTTAAACTGTGTGCCTTTTCTGTCATTAAAAAAATACCCCAAACTTGGAAAATCTCATGAAATACAGTATCCCCCCCAGTTTGATGGAGAAGGTTTATGAGGTATATATTTATTTGTCTGTGTTGGGTTAGTCCTGGGAGTTGGCAGCTTATTACCAGACACCGAGGGGTGTGGGTGGAGAGGTTGTTGCTGTCCACACCACTGAGCCACCACCATGCATGTCCCAACTGCACTGGTTCTCTGCATTGCTCAGCTGTCCTGGGGATGGGAAGGATATCAGCAATTTCTGTTTGATGTTCATTTTTTTTCATTTGTCAAGAAACTCTTTTGATAAATCTAATTGTAATGGATTAATTTTCAGGTTAGGAAGGATGTTTCATGGTTATAGTTGTCACATGCATAATACACATCAAAGATACTGCTGAGCTTAAAGCACATCTGCTGTTCTTCTTCTCTTACATGATTCATTATATTTCTAAACCTGCTTTGTTACATGTATCTGTTTTTCTCTAAATCCTCCTTCAGTTTTATTATCACTCTCACTCTGGTGTAGCCCTCCTCATGGGCACAGAGCAAATGCATCTTGAAAATGCAATTTTTATCTACATGTATAGCTGATTTAAAAAATCTACATATGCCTAAGACAGTTGTTAAATTGTAATGTTTTCTCACTTTGTTTTGAGAAGTTGGGTTTGAGAAGACTGATTTAATTTAAATATTAAACTGATTTTCATATTTTTGGGAACATTTGAGTCTGGAGTAGGTTTCTGTGTGAAGGAAGGAACTGGCCTTGAATTTAATCCAGTTTGTTAGTTAGAGAGGAGAAAAAGTAATGTCTTCTATCCAGAACAATTATAAATCATTCACAGATGGTTTCAGCAGGATATAAAAATAACAGGTTCCTCCAGGTTATAACAAATATCCTGTGGGTTCTTAGTTTCATTGTGACCTGGTGTTTTTCAGTTTGGGGAGAATAACTCTTAAACTTTTATGCTAAGTAGTTTTGCTAAAATTTAAATATTTAGGCAGTGGAGTTCTTAATAACTCTAATACTTGGGTAGGCTGTTTTGTTCTCAGTACTTAGAAGGGTGCTCATGTGTATTTACTCAGGCAGGATTCTCTCTTTCTGAACCAGCACCATTAATGTTTATACAAGATTTAGACTTGAAAATTACTCCAAATTTCTGGCTGTGATTTCCACCACATCCCTCTCCCTGGGTTGCTTTTGAAGCCTGCATATTCCTGGGTACCTCTGCATTTGTGAGAGCCATGAGGTCTGTCTCTTGAGTCCTGTCTTGCTAGAGCTTTATGGGTTAACTGTACTTCGGTAAATACAACTTCTTTCCTTGTGATGGTTCAGTTATTTGAACATGGATTCTGGTATTCCCTGAACACACAGCAGATTCATGCTGGGTTAAAGAGCGCTATAAAATGGGGAGGGAACTGGAGGCTGTGGAGGTAGAGGAAATAACTCATAGAAAATCAGAGGAGCTACACACAGAGCTTCTCTTGCATTATCTGCACACCCATGTCACACCTAGTGCTGCAGAAGGAGTTCTCACTTGGTTTTTTATAGATGAGAGCTCTTTGTGCATGTAGAGAGGTTGGGTTTAGAGATAGGAACATGATGTAAATCTATCTACCCTTAATTAAAAAATACTGGAGGGATTTTTCTAATTTAAAACCTGTGAAGACCGGTGGGTGGGGTGAAGCCTAAGTTGACTTCCTTTAGTTAGGAACTATGTAAATCTGATGTCTTTAAATTTTTCCAAAAATGTTTATGGTTTCTCCCACACCTTATGCTAGAGGACAGCATCATTGTGAGAAAAATGTGTGTGTGTTCTTCTCACAAAGTAAATTTCAAAAACAGTCCATCAAGGAAGTTTCTGAAGAAGTAACATTTTCTGAAGACTACGGGATGGTAGAATTAGTAGTGGTGAGAACTGGTCTCTTTCAGGAGCAGGTGAGGTGCTGGCTGTTTTGCTGCTCAGGATCTGACTTGAAAGGGAGCATCTCATGAAGGTGCATGGGAGAAGTAAAATTTGACATACCTCTCTGAAATATGGTAGTTCAGCATCAGGTTGAGCAAGTGCAAGACATGAATAGAAGAGGAAGTGTCACTATAAACTTGCTGTGGGTGACTGCGGGGCTGTGGAGTTTGGGACCTTGACTCCTGTTCTGCAGAGGAAATAAATAGCCTTGCTGGCACTAAGGCTGTGGTTATGTGTGCTGTGGAGACTGAAGTTAATAGTTTTGTACTAGTCTGTTTTGGGATAGCTTGGTCTCTGTATTGTTGTTAAAATGGAATACTCAATGAGGGTGGGTTATACCAACACCCAACTTCCAAGGGGATTTCTGTATCACTGAGTGTGTATTAAGTCTGTGGATGGCAGAAGCATTAGGGATCCAAAGCCCTCAGCTGGCTGTAGCTGAGTGTGCTTGTGTACATACTGTAATTGTAGCAGTTCTGAACCTGTGTTGGAATGCAGGACTGTAGGTCCTGACCTGTCCTCATGGGATGTTCAGTATAAGCTTCTTGATTAGAAAGGGTTCCTTTTATATATCCAACATTAGGCATTGGCCTGTGTCTTCCTGCACATGTCTTTTCAAGTAATCTGATTTCTGTAGCCTAAAATACGTGCTTTGCTAGGCAACAGGAGTGGAGAGGTGAAGTTTGGGCTAAAAACTCAAAGCAGTTTGCACTCAGATACAGTTGTGCATGAAGGGATTAGGCTGAAGGTGGAAATGGGAAAAAAGTTGGCTTAATACAGCAAGGTTTGCATTTGAAAGGTCAACAAAGTTATCTCTGTTCGTCTGGGGTTGTGTTTGGCCTGTTTAAAAGAGGGCCAAAAAACTTTCAAAAGTATCATGGGTTTGTTTGATCATGAGGGGCATCTTGGTGTGCTGAACTGCTGGGGTACCCACAGCCTCAAGGCTTTCTTCATGAGCTGGTACAGACACTGGAACAGTAATGTCTTCAGAGTTCAAGTGTTTCTGGTAATAAGCAGTTTTTTCAGATGAGTTCACTATGCCGCTGCGGCATGCTGGCTTCCAGAAGCGTGTGCTGTGCTTCTGAGTGCTCCTTATGTCCTGTCTGTATGTGCTGCATCACTGGATTTTTTTTTAATTCCTTAAAAATATCTTGAGTATTTTAAATTCACATGTATAGTTTCAGAAAGACCCACTATATTATGATAGTTTTGATCAATCAGTGCTTACATTTATGCTGAAGCTAATTGCTCTGTCTTCCACTATAGGTTGCGCAGAGCATTGAGGATCATCATCAAGAAGTAATTGCTTTCTGTAGAGAAAAAGGTTTCCATGGTTTGGTTGCATATGACTCCGATTATGCATTGTGCAACATCCCTTACTATTTCAGTGCCCATGCCCTAAAACTGAGCCGGAATGGGAAAAGCCTCACAACAAGCCAATACCTAATGCATGAAGTTGCCAAGCAACTGGACCTGAATCCAAATCGCTTTCCTATTTTTGCTGCTCTTTTAGGTAAGTGAAGATGCTGCTAGTCAGCCTTATGATTTCAGTTGCTATTAACGGTTTTAAAATAATGTGTGTGTAATTTGACAAAGTACTTGGGGAAAGGCATCCCTTTGTTCCAAACATTCCTGCTGTGTGAGGTGGGCTGGATGTGTATTTGAGGTCAGACATGCCCAGTTTGTAGAAATCTTCAAGCAATGCAAATTGTGGCTATCTAGAAAGAAGAGTTGAAAGCAAGGGTTCAGCAGAGCTCTGCCTAGCCAGAATATTCTCTGTGGGTGGGGGTAACCAGGACAGTTGTAGTTCTAGTTCGGGTCTTGTATAGTGTATGAGGTCTAGTTTCGCTGGTACACTTTCCTGACAGGAAGTATGCTTTTGGCCTGAATTCTACCTAAAAATAATACCTATGGAGTGAAGGTGCTTGGTTTGCTGGGACATTTTTTTTCCCTTCAGAAATGAGCATTGGGCAAATATGGCAGCATGTCCGGTGCAGCAGAAATATACTGAGCTATAATTGAGTGAAACTCCGCATTTCTGAAAGCACAAGTGACCGACATTGTACTATTCTATTGGTTTTGGCTGTATACTTTCTTGGCACTCCTGCTTCTCATGCCCGTGAGGTTCTCATACTCAGTAGCATAGGTGGAAGTGTCTCCAGTTTCACATTTCTGCTTAAATGGGACAGTTTTAAGACACTCACTCTATTTCCATAGCAGTGATAGAGTTATAACTGTCATACTCTCTCAGACAGAAGAGTGAATTAAGTACTGACAAAGTTGACTCCAATTAATAAGATTTATTTATAATAGCATTCTAAATGCTTTCTGGGAACAGTCATGTTCTTGATCTTGTCATGCTGTGCAAACAAATTAAGAAAACTGAATTTTCTTTTTTGTTTCTCACTCACTTTGTTTCAGTATGGTTACATGACAGAGGAATAAAACTTTCTTGAAAACTCTCAATGAGAGAGGCTTTGTATTGCTGTTTGAAATCCTAATATTTTAGCGGTCTTTAACATTGTTCCCAGTCCAGGAAGGCACCTTCTATGTTAAGAAGGAAAGATCCAATGGATCTTGCTGTAGACAGCCACAAGTATTTGACTAGTTGGACTTGCTTTTTATCAGTTTGTTTTTCCTGCCTGCATGGGTGTAGGGAGGAAAGGCAATAGTAGGGATGGCTGAGCTGCCATTGCAGGAATTGCATTACAGACTACTATTGCTTGGCTTTGTTTTGGACTCTATAAATAAGTTGGGGCATGCCAGTTCAATGAGTAAGAATTACTTCTGGAAAGAAAAGCAGTTTCCCAGTTGCAGATACGCTTTATGGACTTCATGGGAGCTGTGGCTTTAAGTTGCCACACAATGCCAGCTGTATGGCCTGCTGGGGCTTTTCTTGCTTATATCAAACAGTAGGTGAGATAAGTTCTGATAAAGTTTCTGAAGGCTTTGCAGTTTTATGCAAGAAACTCTTGGTTGGTTTTCCTCTCTTGTCTTGCATGACCAAATAGTTTTCAGCATGTTCTTAGGAGAAAGAAATTGGAGGTAATTTCACATTATTACTCTAGAGAGATTTGGTTGCTTTCTCCTCTCCCTGTCAACTCGGTACAAAGGTTAAAAACCCCCAGGTCAGCTATAAGTTTAGTTCTGAGTATTCCTTTGCATTTCTTGTGTATATGTATTCAGTATGAGTAAGCAGAATAAAGTTCATGGAAATCAGAGTTAGAACAGAAGATACTCTGAAGATCTTCCTGTGCTTGGAGCTTTTTTGTTATTTTTATATGAGTGAATTTTAGGAACTTTAGGTATTTAGATAGAAAGTGATTATATGAGCTGACAACAAACAATACAATTTGGCTTGAAGTATGGGCAACATATTTAACTTTTGCAACCTTTTTACCTATATGCATACAGGTATGTGTAGCATGGAATGTGTTTAAATTAGCATGGCTCATTTTCTAAGCTAAAATTTTATATTTTTGTTGAATATCTGAGGACTTCTCTGGCTTCAGAGGTTATTCTGTCCTTGTTCCTGTGGCCTCTTTGGGTCTTTTTTGATTGTGTTAAATAGAAGCACAATGGGAAGGAATTGAGTGAGCATTTGATGACATGGTAAGGCATTGTGATTTTTTTTCTAGGTACAGCAGTATAACTCCCCATGCTAGTACTTTGTGTAGGAATAAAATAATGTATTCAGAAATAATCACAGTTAAGTTGCTGGTTTAACGCTTGCAATTCCAGCAGGCCCAAACAATCACTATAGCTGTGATATCCATATTCAGCTTTAGGGCTGCAGATGTATTTCCCTGTATCCAGAAAACTAAAGTTTCTTTGTGTTAAGAATCTTTCTTGTCATTAACTCCAAGAATTAATTTGAGGAATGCTGAAAAAGGAAAATCATCCTCAAAGTTTGAGTCTCACATTGAACAGTTAGAGATGCCTGAGGAACAACACTAAACTGGGCAGTTAAAAAATTGTTCTCAATGGCAAGTGATTTGGGATTGAGTTCTGTTCACAGATATAGTCTCTATTGCAGTATTCCCTCAAAATATTTTTATGACTGTCTCAATGAGCCAAAATTGTAAAGATTGCTTTCAGATGGGGTTCTGTGTACACTGTGGCTGGTTGGCTTGGTTTACAGGTTTTTTTCCTTCTTACAGCCTCACATCAGAAAGGGGTTTATAATTGTAGCATTGTAATATAAAGGATATACTTGGAATGGGTGGTTAAAATGTGGCCTGGATACTGCATCCTCTGAGCATGGTGTTACAAATTTCTCTTCTAATTGCTGCTGATGTAAACAGGGAGTTGATTTGGGTTATTTTGTAACTTTTGACTCAAATACTACAGAATAATTTTTAAAAAGATAAACAACCCAGGCTTCAGCAAGTAGAAAAACAAATCCAGTGTGAGATATAGGCTCTAATTCAGTGAACTCTTTAGAAAGGACAGTAGCTTCAATTAGCATCTAATTGATTAAAAAAAAAAAACCTGAAAACTAAGGCATACACTAAAATAAGCCATTAAATTGGGGAAAATCAATATATGTTGAGGTTGTTCAGCCAGGTCAAGAAATAGAGGTTGCTTATGTAATGCTGATCTCTTTCCCACTGTGACAGCACTTGGTTACATGTTTAGTTATGGAATCTTGTTTTGCTCCTCAGTAAAATTTTAGAACTACATAAGGTAAGTACAGGCATCACTTTGTAATTGGACCACAGAAGACACTGCTGCACTTCAGTGTACATGGTGAGAATTGATCAAACACTGCCTATGTGTGTTCTGCGGGATGAATTAACTGCAATGACAGATGGAGACCAAATAAAATTGAAGTTTTGGTGGAAGGGAGAGAGGCCCTGACTGTTTTAAAAGGTAGCGTCTGCAGAAGTGATTGTCAGTTATCACAGAACTGTCCTGCACTGGCTACAATAGATTTTTGCAGGCCTGTACTAGAAAGATTAGATAATCTTACCTTGACCAGAATTAGTGGGTGTGGCTGTTATATGCAAACTTGTTGAATCCTTCTGATGTGAGATTAAAGTTTAGCTCTGAATGAAAAAAACCGATAACATCTCCTTGCTGGAGATCTCGGTAGTGGGTGAAGTATTGATTGGACACAAAGACTTCCCACTCTGAGAAGACATCTGCTTGTCACCAGGCAGCTTTCCTGGCTTTCACAGGTTAAGGAGCATTAAGAGCAAACAAGATGATTTTACCAACAAAATACCAAGAAAGAAAACAATTGTTGTAATAGTCAGAGAATCTTTTCATATTCTTTATGAACAGTGGATTCATTAATAAACTGCTGCTCCATAAAGCCAGGTGTTGAATATATCCTGAAGTTTTCGTCCAGAATTGTGTTAACACATTCTGTTTAGCTCTTTGTAAAGTTTGGGTCCACAGCCACGGAAATCCATCAGAGGTTGATTAGTTATGTCTTTGATTAATACAAGTATTTTAAATGTTTCCTAGTAATAATTTTCTTTTTTTTGTGATGTGCTTTGGAGAAAAAAAACAACAATGTAGGTGATGTTTCATTAGAACACATGAACACTGTGGTAAATGCAGTCTCTATCTCTGTCCATGGAAACAACAGAATAATTTGCCACTTCCTTCTCTGCTGCCAGCCCAAGGTCCCATCTGACCTGGTCAGATCATCAAAAGAAACTTCAGGAACTGGGGACCTGCTACATGTCACTGAAGCTGCTGGTGTTCCTGAGGGTTAGATAAACCTGGCTGGTGCCTTGCTGCTTGACCCATGCTTGCACAGTGGAGCAGAGTGCAGATTCCAGAGGCAGCTCCCATGTGGATCAGTAGTGGCACATGCTGGCCTGCAGAAAGGCCCCTACCAGCATGAGTCGGGGAGCAACAGAACGGGTTCTTACTCTCTTGCACCTGCATTGTGAAATCTGTTGAGGATTCCCTAATAGGACATGCAGGCTTGAGGTGGATTCTATGTTGTGCCTGGCTCTGTTGCTGCTGTAGGTGAGCTGGCTTCATGGAAGAGTGGTCCTCACACACCAAGTGGCTCTTGCTGCTGCAGCAGCAGCATGCTGATTAGTTTTTTCTGGAGTAACAGAACGCTATCTGCAAGTTTAATCTGTTAATCCTCTTGATCAGGAGTTGAGGACTGATTGCAGATTTGTTTGCTGTATGTAGAAACAGTGTATGTTTTACAGTGCACTTAAATGAGTTCTGCATTATGTTCCAGGTAATCATATTCTACCTGATGAAGATTTGGCTTCCTTTCATTGGAGTTTACTTGGTCCAGAACATCCACTAGCTTCACTTAAGGTACAAATTTAATATAACTAGGAGAAATTAAATCAATGCTACTGGTTAACAAGAGCAATGTGATAGCTTAATTGAGAGCAGCTCTGCAAGTTTCTTATGCTTGCTCACCCTCAAGTGTCCCAGTGCCTGGCTGCAGGGGATACCTGGGGTCACTGGCCTTACAAGGCTAAACTTAGCCTGCGTGATCCCCCTCAGTGTCCTTCAGCTACAAAAGTCAGAGCTCTGCTGTAGTTTGCCTTGTAGAATGCAACTTCTTCCTCTCCTCTTTCTTGGAGAGGAGAGCTTTTTGTTTAGTCATGTTCTTCAGCTATCAAAAATAATGAGCTGTGTATCTTCCTACCATCTTGTTTTATTTTCTGCTGCTCTGAGTTTTTGTGTAATAATCTGGTTTTGGTATTTAAAGTGTAAATATGCTGGGAAACAGATTGCATGAGAAAGCTAAAGTGGCCTTTGGTACGTTTGCGGTGGGGGGGAAGGGGTTGAGACAAGTAAATTATCTAATGCTCTTAGTTTACAATATGTGTGTTCTGTTGCTTCATCCCACTTGCCTCGTGTATCTGCCAAGTAGAGGGCTATAAAAGGGAAACTGGACACATCAGAGAATGGGATCATAGTGACCTTTCTCTCTGCCACAACAGATACATCTATTACATTTATTTGCCTTTCTCCTAAGGTGTACCATGTAGCAAATAATCTGGTTTTTTGTAAATTCTGTCATACTGCTTAGTTATCTCTACAGCAAAAATAGGTAGGTTTTTCCCCTTCTGGTCTGAAAGTTTATTAAGCCTTGAAAACTTATTATGCCAAATGTAGAATTTAAAACAACATTCCAGATTTTCAGCAGAATTTTCAAGGCTTGCACATGCATTGCTTAGAGAACAGCAATTTGATGTTACACTCATCCTCTATTTTGCTGCCGCTCTGTTGTTTAGAAAGGTAAGTGTCAGAACATTCTAGTGGCAGAACAAAACCTGCATGCATATTCGCTACTTCCTCTTAAAATTGGAGGTGAAAAAAAATGAGTGTGTGTGCCTGTATTTCCATTTTTTATTAAAGAGGTTAAAATGTAGAGCTTCTTGCCAAGTGGATGATAAAGTTTCTGGTGATTTTTTCCTGTAGTCTAGCCTGAGAAGACTTGTTAGTCAGGTCAGATTATGACTTCAGACATCTAGACCTTCTGGAAAGCCCTCTAAATTTATATTAAATTACTTGACTGAAAATTAGATATTTGTCATAGTTGCATTTAGATGTACCTGTTCAGTGGAAACGCCAACTGGACTTTGTAAGCTGGCATCCCAAGGAAATGCAACACGTAACCTCAGAGCATCCTGGCCTGCCATAGGCAGTCCTCCCTGCCGGATTTTATCTGTTGGCCAATGTGATTAGATATGAAAGCAGTTCCCAATTGGCTGTTAAAAGGTTCCGTAAAAACTGCTGCACTGTTAGCAATGCAAATCCCCAGATGAGTGCCCTGACTGAGGAAAGACTATCACAACACAGGATTTGTTGAATTTCACGGCAGCTTGCTGGTCATTTGTTCAGTGCACAGCCCCAAACTGAGCGCAGCACCTCTATCTCCAGCCTGGCAGGGCTATCAGGTGGAAGGACACATTTGTAACATACCAGTCTTTTTTAGTTACTGGTAATGGAACAACTGCCTGTTTGTTTCAGCTTTAATTTTACAGTGCTCATGGTTTGAAATGATGACTTGTTTCAGGAGCTCATTAATTGAGTTTAATTTCCTTGACATGCTAGAATATCAGTGATGTCACCACAGCTCTATGTAGGGACATCTTCAGTGTACCTGTGCACAAAGAAATATTGCCTGTAGATTCTATGGATGCTCAAAAAACCCTAAAAAACATTTTTATTAGCCACAAGGCTGATAGCAAGGAGTAGTTTCAGAATAGTCCCAAAAAGCACAAGCCTTCATGAAACCCAGAAATGGGGGGAAGTTGTTGTTTCCCAGGATGTCCTTCCTGGGCTGTGCTTACAAACTTTGCTTTGTTGTGTCTATTTAGAGTCACAACTGGGTGTTCTTCATGCTCAGGAACCAAGGGCTTTAATCCCACACCTCATTCAGCTCAGGATTTAGAAGGCTTTTTCTCATTGTGTAAAGATTTTAATCTTTTATCTTTAGAACAGTATGGTCTTGAGCATCAAAGCTGACAGATTTTGTTCCAGTGGCCAGATTTGTTGCTTTTCAGGGAGAACTGTGAGAGTTAATAAAGTACAGTTTATTTTCTGCATTCTCCTTCAATCTTTTATTATGCTGTAGCAAAATACTTTTCCTGAAAGAGAAGCTTTGACAGTTCACCAGTGAAAAAGGGTAACTTAAAAAAGAAACTACCAGCTTTGCTGGTGGAAATTGCTGGGTCTCCCCATGAGTCACCATGGGGAAGGGAAAAATCCAAACCAGAGGAACCCATACTTCTGTTTTAATTGGAGGGATGTTCACCCAGGAAAGCTGAGTAGAAATGGGAAGATGAGAGGAAAATGAAAAACCTGACTGAAGAATCTGTACAGTAACATCTGGAAGGAAATGAACCTGAGAGTCAGGACAATGTCTCCATGTGCTGGATGAAAAGCCTTTCAGCAGATACCAACAATTACCGTCAGCTGAGCAGAACTGGGAAGATTCCATGACCAAATTTAAATGAAGATATATGAATTAATGTTGCTGCAAGAAGGAGAAGGAATCAAAAGCTGGCTCTGTGACCTGGTCTGAGTCAGGATCTCATCTGTCCAAATGTGCCTGTGGAAAAATCCCATAAGAGTGGAGACCTACACTTGAGTCCTGTCACCTACCTGAGAGCAGAGTTCACTGAAATGACCACCCAGATCAGGGGTTTGAAACAAGAGGAGTTGATAGGTTTCCTCAGAAATCATCTGATTGCTAGACCTTGTTTATAGACCAGCATTATCCTGCTTTTTGTTTGTGTTCTTTGGGATTTATCTTTAAGACAATTTGGTTCTTATTCTGGAAAAACTTGTTACAGTATGGAGCTTCAAGATCAATGTGTAATACTGTCAGAATTAGTTTTGGAGGGCAGTTTCTTACCTCTGGAAGAAATTGATGCCTGTTTGGGAGCACAGACCACTGAAGAAGTGCTGACTTTTCATTCACAAAGTAACCTTCGAAACAAATCTTAATGCAGTCTCCCTTTATATGTAAGAAGAATATGTAGGGAAACTCCATTTCCTTGGTTGTTGTGTCTCAGTGGAGAGGCAAAGATACTTCTAGAAAGCAATCCAGATTATGCAGTTTAGGCTTCTTCTCTGAATCTTTCTAGGAAATTCTGTCTTACTGTCTTACTCCTCTGTTGACTTCAGAGGGTGTTTGCCAGATGGAGACTAATATATGAAGTAGATACTTAGGTAATTTGCTGCTGCTCAGATGACAAAGGTGACACTATTAAGATATACTTCAAGTAAATGTCTTGTTGTTCATGGGGTTTATTGATGCTAAGGGTAATCATAATACAGATCAGATGGAACCTCAGGAAGTCATGTAGTACAGCCTCCTGTGAAAAGTGCAGTGAGCTTGAGGTCAGAGCAGATTGCTCAGGGCCCTGACTAGACTAGTCTTAAAAATCTCCAAGATTGGAGACTGCACAGCCTGTCTGAGCAGCCTGCCCTGCAGTGTCATGGCCCTGACGATGAAGATGCTTTGCCTTGTGTGCTGTCTGAGCCCTTCTTGTTTCAGGGTATGTCTGGTGCCTTTTGCTCTTGCACGACATACTGCTGTGAAGAGCTTGGCTCTCTGTGTTCAGTTACCTTTCTGTGGGTAATGCAAAACTGTATTTACAAAGCCTTGTTTTTACTACACTGGATAAGCCCCATTCCCTCAGCCCTTTCCAGAGCAATTGCTCCTCTCTGACAATCTGGATGACCTGCAACAGCTCAACTGTTCTGACACGCAGCTGTAGCCTCAGAGTGAAATGTTCTGGAGTGGATCTGCTGTGCACTGAGAAGTAGGATCCCTGGGTCTGCCTCCTCTTTGTTCTGCTGTCTCTTCTGGCTGCAGGTCCCTTTTGGCAGACCTGGAGCCTGTGGAGTAGCCAGAGGGGTTATTTCTGCCCAGGTGTAAGGCTTCACTTCTATAGCTATAGAATTTCTGAAGGATCCTATTGGCTCATCCCTATGGCTTGTCAGGGAGCTCTGGATGGCAGCCCAGCCCTCAGGTTCGGAGTGTGTTGGGCTGTCCACGGGTCTCATGAAATCTGTCTGTATCACATCTTTGGCTTATGCTTCTGCTCTCTCCTTTGCTTTCTGACATAATTTGTGTTCCTCATTATTTGTGTTCCTTCAGTCTTTTCACTGACTAGCGAAAAAGTAATGTTCCCTGTATGTTGCTTCACAGCAACGGAATGTTTGAGGTCTCTTTTAAAATGCTTTGGAAATGAAACTGATCCAGTTATCTGTTTCCAACAGGAACAGCAGTAAATGTGGTGTTGATTAGTCTCTTCAGGTTTTACTTCCTGAAGACAGTGGGGTGTTCCCAGAGTTGGGGAGCTTTTCCCAAGTGTAGCTTAGGTACCTTCTACACTTATCCTGATCATCCCATGGAGTTGTGCTTATGTGAATCTGTTCTCTTCCAAAGAAGCATTTTTGCAAGACATTTTTATCTTGTTGCTTCCATGTTTGTAGTGCTACTCATTTTGACAAATGCCCCTATAGAATTCATTGCTTTCCCCACTTCGTCTTTGCAGAATGCACAAATAAGTGACTTGTGATTTTAATCAGTGCTCTGTCACAAACTGAAGGAGTCCTTTTACAGCTAGCAAAGAAACTGGGTCCCTCTCCATGTGTAAGCTCTCCAACCTGATTATCTGCAAGTATGGAACCCACCCCCATGTTTGCCTTCCAAAATTGATTTTCTGTGTTGTTGCTTGTCCAAAACATTTCTCTAGAGGATAAGGGAAAAAAAGGAACTTCTAATAAGAAATTGGTGAAACATGCTGCTGCTTTTGCCCTAAAATGCTTTGTGTGACACTAAAAATGAGTTTGAACCACCAACACATGCTCTGTAACTTCTGCTGCAAGTCTGAATTTTTCCTAGCCCTTACATGCAGTAAGACTTAGCTTGTCTTTTAATGCACACAGGATTAGAAACATTCTTTATGATTCTTTGCAAGATCTACAATTTCAGATTCCTGGAAATTTCTGAAATTAATAGAAGAATATTTTATTCTTTAATATCAGGAAAGTACTTTTTATTTCACAATTTTAATTTCAGACTTTTGTGTAGCATAGGTCGTGATACTCTTAGTTTTGAGGATGTTCTCACATCTGCACTGGATGTCTTTGAAACTAGAAAGTCCAAATACATGAGATGTCTCTAGGTCTGTAAAACATACTTCCAGAAGCTCTCACTTCAGGATTTAAGAGTATGCTCCAGTGAGATCTTGAGGCTGTTTACAGGTGGCTGAATGGGAGCAGTATGCCAAGTGAGTCTTTCATAGGCCTCACTTGGGCTTCAAACTTCCAGGGCCTTAGATGGCTGTTAGTGCCCGAATGATGCGCTATCCACTTGTGATGCCAGCTTTGTATGGTTTATTCAATATTGCCATCATGGAGATCACATAAATTAACAGGAGATTGCTTACTTCTGTCAGCCACTGTGTTTCCAAGCAGAGATTGCAGGAACACTGAGGGAGCAGTGCAGGGTTTCTGCAAGGGCTCTGCAGAGAGCGCATCCAGCATGACATAGCCATGGAATGATTCAGCTGTTTTAGAGATTTGTTACACATAGGAGGAAAATGGGAGATGTTCAGCAACTGACTTGGATTACCAGGGATGAGAAAATCTATTCCTCCTTCTAGAAAAAAGTTGGGCAAAATTTTGTCACCAATATTTGTGACTCTAAGCTTACATGTGAGTGTGATCTACATTTAGTATTGTTGTCTATATTCAGAGGGCAACTAGTGTGAACTTAGACTTTAGTGTCTGAGATAGAAATAATTACCCTGCCACTGACTATGCTAAACAAAACTGTTCTTAACTGTTCACTTTTCACAATGGCATCGACTGACAGAACACAGGGTAATGGTGTTAACCTGAAGGGGAGGGCAGGTTTAGGTTTGTTATTAGAAAGAAATTCTTCCCTGTGAGGATAGGGAGGCCCTGGCACAGGGTGGCCAGAGAAGCTGTGGCTGCCCCTGGATCTCTGGAAGTGTCCAAGGCCAGGTTGGATGGGGCTTGGAGCAACCTGTGACAGTGGAAGGTGTCCCTGCCCATGGCAGGGGGTGGAACTGGGTGGACTTCAAGGTCCCTTAGCCATTCTGTTTCTTTGTTTACTTTAGGCTTATAAAATATAGAGCTCCTATCTGGTAGAGAATGACCAGATAAAGAATAAATATGCTGACATTTGTAAAAAGTAGATATTAGGAGAAGGAAATTAATAGAAATGGGTATCTGGCGAGAATTCCATGGTCTAAATATGAAGAGGGCAGTGTAAGATAACATCATAAGTAGATCAGATAAGGACAGGGAAGAAAATAATCACATAGGGTCCACTCTGTATAAAATTAAAAGGAGTTGTGGTATGGGTTTTAAATTTGGAAAGATAAAACTATCGAAATATTAATCAGAATTTTGCATAAATGTTTCTGACAAGCCTGAATTGCACTGTTTTCTAGTAAAGTGTGATCTCTCTGTGTAGAATGTAAGGACTCAAAGATTCAAAATTTTTTTGTATCTTAAAAATAGAACTGTTAATTATAATAGTCATCTCTCAGGTTCTGAATCACTGAATTTTGCAAACAAACAGATTAAAAGATGTTAAAAGCAAAAACCTAGCTGCCCCTATAGGCCCAAGCAGAGTGCTTCAGAATTGTGCAGAGCTTCCAGAGGCTTCCTCTTGAATGTAGGATTCATGTTTGGAGACCTCGTTCCTGGCTCTGTGCAGCACTTGGGATGGGAGCAGAAGCTGCTGATGGTTCAGGAGTTCTTCAGATCCAGCTGGCGGCACTGCTCCCTGCCTGGAATTTTACAGAGGTCCGGGATGGTTCCTTGGCCAGAAGCTTCTGTTCCCCATGTAGGATAAGAGCAGCCATTCCCATAATCATAGGCCAAATCATAATTTATTTTCAGGAGTAGTCAATTGAATGCTGAGGTGGAAGACCAGGGTTTCCAATGGGTCTTTTTCATCAATTCTGCTATTACTTTACACTCAGAAAATAAACTGTCAAAATATTTCCTAGCATATGTATGTGAATGTAGGTGAAGATTATAGTGTATGGTGAATTAGATGAAGTATTTTGTACTGGAGGAAATGTGCAACTAGAAAGCAGTAAAAGAACCAGCATTGTTGACATTTACTGTTGGAGCTGATACTTAACCAGCAGGTGAGTTGTAATTGTGCTAGTCTCTGTTTAAGGTGAAGTCTTAAAAACAAAGTAGAAGGCCCAGAAGAAGTTAGCTAGGACATGTGGGTACAGGTTGCAGGTACTGTCAGTAGAGGGGAGTTCAGCTGTGTGCCCCATTGTGTGCTCACCTGCCGTGTTTGCTCACAGGTACGTGCTCACCAGTTAGTTTTACCGCCGTGTGACGTAGTGATCAAAGCCGTAGCTGACTATGTCCGCAACATTCAGGACACCGCTGATTTGGATGCCATAGCAAAAGATGTTTTTCAGCATTCGCAGGTAAAGTATAAAGCCAAGTATTGTCTTGTTTTCTTTTTTTTAATCAATTTTGCTGTACATTTGTGTTGAAGAATTGCACTTGATAAAATAGTGATTTGATAATAGGAATCTCTTGATATTTGCAGTGGCTCAGCTCTCCTAATTTCATGTTCCTTGCTTTCTAAGGATGAAAATACTGTGTTTGCCCTCAGTGCTTTAAATTATTGATAACCAGAGGGGTTTTTAACCTAGCTGTGTGCACTGCCTTTGAGAATAAGCTGTACATGAAGACTGAATGTTTAAATTTTACCCTTACATGGATTGATGTAACATTTCTTGTACTGGAGCAGTGCTGCAGACCATAGGCATTAATCCTGAGATACGGTGTACATTAACTACTGTACAATCCTGTGTTGACCTGCAGGTGACAAACCTGCACAGCTTATGATAGATATTTTTTTTTTTTTTTTTTAGTCTAGAACAGATGACAAAGTTACTCGGTTTAAGAGAGCGGTTGCTTATTACTCGGCAACTAATAAACCTATGCCATTTCATCCACCACATTACCTAGGTAAGTAATGACAGCAGCCAGGCTTTTTGTTTTAGCTAAAACTTAGGGTAACCCTAAATCAGAAATGGTACTGGTGGCAGCATCTTACAAAAATGTTTATATTTTCTGGCAGTTCCCACTGACCTGTAAAGATGAGGTTTCAGAAGAAGGTTTTCATAAGATATATGCTGAGGTTGTGTTCTTGTCCCAAAAGACAACAACCTAGATTACTTTTCTTCTTGGCTATTGCAGCATCCATTGGCATTGGGACTCTTGAGAGAATGGTGCTGTCAACAACTGAAGTCTGGTGTCTACTCCCATTCATGAGAGCAGTTGCTATTTCTAGTCATTAAAACATACTTACTGTTTCTGTTTCTCACTGGCCTTGCTGGCATGTTTTAGAAATTCCTTTATAGACTTTGATTTTTTGGTGTAATAACAAACCTGTTTAAATTGCAGCCACACATTGTTGTGGTGTTGCAGATTATTCTCAAGGCTTAAAAATTAAAATGGGTGATCACAGGATTTCCTACTCATGCACCAGTTTTAACACTAAAATGTCATTTTCGCTTAAATGTTGTAAAGATCTTCAGTTACCATACTAGTACACTGACACAGATTTTTCCTGCTTTTCTGGAGGATGTGGGCTGTCTTATTTCCTTCCAAAGACCTGCATTAAAGGGTTAAGAAGCTACTCTAGGTCAAATATTTAAATGACAAAATGCCAGCATTCTGTGTCTGCATGGTGTTGGCAATGTCTCCATTATGGCACGTCTTGGGGTTTTTTTTTTTTTGTAAGCTACCTTTGACTCCCAGACAGAATAGGAGTGTGCAGCAATAAGAGATACAAAGACCTGAAAGAAGGTGAGACATAAAATACACTTCACAAGCTACAAAGTATTTCAATAGAAAGGTAAAAATGGATAAAATGGACTTAAAAGCATAGGAGAAAACAGAAATGCTAACAGAACAAGAATAAATAAACCATAGAAGCAAAAGGACAAATAGGATAACATTTGTGTCAAATACTGAGTGTTTTCATGAGTGCTTGGGTTTTTTTTCATTTTTTTTCCATCTCTTTTCACTTCCTCCCCTGCAATACAGCAGCCAGACCAAATCAGTTTGGTATGCCTGGGATAGTGCCACCATATGTTCCTTCTCAGATGCTTAACATTCCACAGACCTCACTACAAGCAAAACCTGTGGTAAGTACAGCTTCTGCCCCTCTCCTTGGGGAGAGGTCTGTTGTACTCCACAAACTGGAATCCAGGTGGCAAAGGTGTAGTCAGCGTTTTCAGTGTGGACACTCACTTGACTGAACTTTCTATCTGAAACTAAAGTGATGCTACGGCCCCTGGTGGAACAGTTTTTGTGGATGTTCAAGATGGCTGAGTTTCAACACATATATTTGGAAAAGACCACTTCATTAAAGAATGTATTTTGTTTTAAAAGCAAAGCCTTAGTTGCCTTCACTCAAGAGAGATCCCTTTATTTTAGGCCCAGCAGATGTCCAGTCAGGGTGGGGCCCAAGGCCAGGGTCCATACCCATACAGCCTCTCTGAGCCAGCCATCACCTTGGAAACAGGTGGAAAAAGTCTGTCTGAGCAGAACAATTACAGTAACATTCCTCACGAAGGAAAACACACACCATTGTATGAACGGTCTTCTCCAATAAATCCAGCCCAGAGTGGGAGCCCTAATCATGTGGATTCAACCTATTTTCCTGCCTCTTCTACATCTTCGTCCTCTGACAATGATGAAGGCAATGGCGGTGCAGTGAAGTAAGTTTCTTATGAGGATATTCTTATTCAGCTTTGGTTAAAATTAATTTACTTTCAAAATAGTTTACCTGTATCCTGAAAGTAAGAATGATAGACTCAATCACAGAATACCCTGAGCTGAAAGGGACCCACAAGCATCATTGAAGTCCAACTCTTGGCAGAGTTGGACTTCGCAGAAATCTGCAAATTAGTGATGTGATTGACTTTAAAAAGATAGTTTTGGGCCACTATGACTGCAGACATGTGCATTGTTCAATCTTTTTGCCTTGTTCCTTAAGCAGGAGTCCAAAACCAAAAAGTGTTGGGTGTTTTTTCCTCTTCTGCCCTTACGTTTTACTGAAAGAGTGAGGTTTTGGTAAATGTCATAAAGCCTTCCAGTCCTTTACTTTGTATAAAAAAGATTCCTTCTTCATAGTATAAGTCATTAAAATTTCAGAAGCTAAAATCTACAGAACCTCACTGAACTTGTACTGTTTACATGTCCTAAATTTGGGCGTAATGTAATGTGAATGTCAGAAATTTTTTCAAGACTCCTGCAAATAGACATTTTTAATAGAAAACATCCCTTAAAATCAGAGTATCTTGCCCAAAATTCTAGTCACAGACACCAAGGATTAATTTCACTATCTCTCAAACTGCATTTTAGTATGATGTTTATCTTTCTGTTGTCCTTCAGCCATGTCAGTGGGAACAAAATAGGCTGGGAAAAGCCAGGAACCCAGTCAGAAGGTCAAACGTGTGGAGAGCTGGGAGACCAAACAAAGGTATTTCCTTAAATTCACATTTTATTACTTTGTGTTAAAACTTTACTGCAAACTCCGAGGAGGATTTTCAATATAGATCCATAGTATTTAGTGCAAACCTGTACACTTCGTTAGTTACAAAACAACGACTTTGGAATACAGGAGGAAGTTTTCCACAACATTATAGCATATACATAAAAACAAACATGAAGTAGGATGTTTTAGAAAATACTAGATACGAACCAGGAGCAAATCAATAACTTTGTTTGGCTCTTAGCCAACAATCTCACCCTCATATGTTGCTCTCTGGGCTTCCAGTAGTGCATGTTGGATTTTTAGGAAGGAGTGTGACAATCTGAGTGTCCATGGAGTCAGAGTCCATATCCTGTAACTCACAGTGGAGTAAACACAGCTCTGACACCATCAGTGTTAGCCACAGGCCACTGAAGGTGTATTAAAGCTCAGCTGAGGAATTAAAAATCCTTTATAACTGCATGGTAGGAATTTCACCTAATACTTGTTAAAGTAGCTCCATGGGGCCAGTTAGTGTTGCTGTTTAACTAGGTAAAGATGGGTGAGATGGCCTTTGATAAAGATTTATCATTATTAAATTTGAGATTTCAAGCCACATTCAAATCAAGAACATGATTGTCTCTATTCCAAGGTTGATCTCTGTTTGGAAAGAGCATTAAGAGCATTTGCACTTAGTATCTCTGTGCCTTGATGGTGGAGCTGTACACCAACTCTTAACTCTGTCAAAAAACTCTGATCTTGAGTTAGTTACACTATGAGCAAACAGAACATTTTCCCTGTACTTTTGGCATAGGAATTCCAGAAAACTTGGGCTTTTGTGCTTAAAATATCAAGTGGATGATTTCATCCATCAGCAGTTATTATTTCTGCAGACTGTGCCTGTAACTGTGTCTTCATGGGATTAGTCACCATATGCATATGCTAATTTGACCTATTACATTCCTTTCTTTACTGCTGGGCTGGGCCTTGTGCTGCCTTGTGACCCAGCCCTGAGCATGTCCTTTCCCACAGACAGCCCCTACACTGAGCCAGAGCTGAACGAGCACTCACTAAACTTTACAGGAGATGTATGCACAGGCTGACTTAAATATATCCAGTTTAATGTAGTAATGCTCCTGAGCTTTATTTGCCTGTTTGTTTTTTATCATCAAACCACTTTGTCAGCCCTCAGTAGCAGGAGAAGGCAGAAGTATCTTTTGAGCACAAAAGGAAGGACTGTGAGTACATTTTGTGAATGAACTCATTTCCTGGAGAGGTGAAACATTAATTAGTGATTGAGAAAAGAGGTAGTACTTCCTTAAGACATTGCTTAGAGAAGCTGCCCCATCTCTGGAAATGTCCAAGGCCAGGTTGGACAGAGCCTAGAGCAACCTGAGATAGTGGAAGGTGACCCTGGCCATGGCAGGGGTGGAACAAGATGGTCTTAAAGGTCCCTTCCAATCCGTGATTCTACGAAGATTTCAACTGAGTGAGCTATAGGTGATTTTCTGAAGTAAAGTGCTGAAAATCCAGTATAGGTCAGGCAGGTAGCAGCAGTCTTGACATTCCTTTCACTTGACTTAAACATCAAAATTCCTTGCAGTTATCTCACAGTGTGAATTCTACATTAAAAAGATAAGCTCCTCTCATTTGGCTGGATGCATATTTCTAAAGAAAATAACCACCCTTAAACTGTGGTGTTTCCTCAGTTTAGGTGTTGAAATATTGCTGGAGCAGATGCAAGAAGAGCCTGGGTACTGCAGTCAGGAAAAGCATTGCTGTCATGTGAGGGTTTTTGTCTTCTTCCTTGTGTGCCCTCAGTAAACTTCTTGTTGTGGTTCAGTATTGCTGACTTAAGAGTTGTTGGGGTAGTAGAAGACAGGGAAAGTCTTTAACCTGACATAGATATATTTGATATAACTATAACACAGATTTAATAAAGGTGTGATATAAATACATTTGTTATTAAGCATATTGGTTTGGAAATGTTCTGGTTTACAGGTTTTAACCATTTCATCTGTATATTTTAATTTTTATAACTCAAATGAAATCTGTATTACCAACTAAAACACAATCTTTCAGTAACATCCTCTTCGATTGTGTGATTAAAGCATCATCTGAAAAGAAGGTTGCCCTTTGATATTTTGCTAGAGCTTGTTATTACTACCTTCCCCTTCCTGTAGAAGACTTTCGGAAGTTGTGTTTGGATTTTTTGTTATTTGCATTCAGATTAGTATTTTTCATGGGTCTGAGGTGAACCCCTGAGCTTATTTGGGCCTGTTTTTTATGTTACATATTCTGTGGGATTTCGTGCTTTGGCCCTTTCCATTTCAGCCTTGCTTTTCAAGTCTTAGGAAACATGTGAACTTCTTTACTTGTATTGTGAAAATACTCATACATGATGTATCATCAAGTGATGAAATTTTGCTCTCAAAAGATTTTACTATTGCTATAATAATTTATAGGCATGAAGCTAACTTAACATGAACTCTTAATCTAAAACCAGATTTTGGTTTTGAAGACCAGAATTTTTAGGAATGAGCTCAAAAAAATTTTATTGTTGTATCTGAGAAATCAGCATAAAATCCTTGTAAAGGCTTGGAGGTTTACAGTATATTTTTATGCATTATATTTTTCCCATAAGTTTATGAACTGCATTTCTAGAACTGGAATAGAAGGCCGCTTTAGTTTTCCAGTCAGAAAACTTCAGCATTTTCTCTTACAGTCTTCTCAGACGAAGGGCTTTTATGTTAAAAAAAAAAAAAACAAACCCAAACAGCCAAAAATCCAACAGGTTTACCAGGTTTTGAGTTTGGACACTATGTATTTTACATGTTATTTAATTGAACTGTGTGATTTCCCCTGTTTTGAGTAGAATTGCAAGCTGAGAAGGGCTATGTTTATAGAAGTCTAGATAAATTACAGACTATGTGGCTGTCAGTTAACACATTGAGTAGGGCATATCTTGGAAATACTGAGTTAAAAGTCCATTCACAGGTCATTAAAAGGCCATCAGTACACTTCTGCATTATGTAGTTAAAATTTTTAGAAAATAATAATTTCTGTTGCTGTTAATAAGTTAAAAGTTTATTTTGTTAGTAATTTGGTTCTACTAGCAAACAATGGCTAAAGGTTTCATGAAAACCTTGCAGCCAGCTTTGGATAATGTATTCTGCGCACTGCATCAGTGTGACATGAAGATGTATTATTTTCTTTAGGGGTGAGGAAGGAGGTTTTCTGCTTCTCCTGGTTGATCTCCTTGGTATGTTTCTGGACACATACAAAGCATTTTATTTTGTATGTTCTGTTACAGGCAGAAGGTTCCTCTAGTGCTTCTTCAGGAAGTCAGGCAGCTGATGTCAAAGGGAATCAAACCAGTAATCCACAAATCCCATGCCTGTTGTCCATGCCCACCAGAAACCACATGGATATTACCACCCCTCCATTACCTCCAGTAGCACCTGAAGTATTACGAGTGGCAGAGCACAGGCACAAGAAGGGGTTAATGTATCCTTACATCTTTCATGTCCTAACCAAGGTATGACATTTTAAAATTAGGTCCTGTGAGATAATGATTCTGTGAAGATAGTTGCCCTGGCATTTCTGGCTAGCATATCAGATTTTTATATCCTTTTTAATGCTCTAACTTCTGGTCACTTTTTTAGTCGCTTGAGCCAGTTTTCCCCCTGTTTTCTTACCACTGATATGGTACATTGTTCCAGTAAACAGTAGATGGCTATAATTAAAAGTGTTTATTTACAAAATTAATTATTTTTTCCCAACTATTTGCAGTTATTTGTATATATCTCTATGCATGGATGTATATGTCTGTGTGTGTGTGTGTGTGTTTATGCAGAGTCTATTTCCATCTAAAAATTTCTGCATATGTGCTTTGGTGTCTGTGCCAAGTCTTCTCTATTTTCAGTATTCAAAAGTACTGAGATTTGCTCTCCTAATCTGATCCCCCTCCCATTACTGATAGCTGGCCCTGAGAGAAACAAAACAACTCTTAAGAAATCCCTTTTGTATCAGCAGCTAGCAAAATGGCACAGTCTCCATGCCTGTTTACTTGTATTCACCTTAAAAATCCTCATCAAGACAATAAGGACCACAGGCAGATCTGAAATCCATCAAACTATAAGTTACTGCATCGAGGTTGAGGTTTGGATTTCCTATTTCCCATTTGTTTGTTTAATACCACAGCTTGTGTTCTTACACTTTTTTGTCAAAGACAAGTGAAGAAGCATCAAAAGGTCTGTGATGACTATTGATGCCAGTTCTGTTTCACACTTTAAATAGCAAAATATTCTTAGCATGTTTAAATGCTACTTGATGTTTAATCACAGAATCATTTAGACTAGAAAAGATCATCAAGATCATTGAGTACAACTGTTAATCCAGCACTGCCAAGGCCACCACTGAACCATAGCCCCAAGTGCCATATCTATGTGGCTTTTAAATCCCTTCATGGGGACTCCACCACTGCCACCTGAAGCCACTTTCTTTGTCCTGTTCCTTGTTCCCTGGAAGCAGAGCCTGACCACCCCTGGCTCTGCTCTCCTGTCAGGGAGTTGTGCAGATCAAGAAGGTCCCTCTCAAGCCTCCTTTTCTCCAGACTGAGCTCCTTCCCCTGCTCTCTCAGCCCCTTCCCCAGCTCCATTCCCTTCTCTGGACACGCTCCAGCCTCTCAAGCTCTTTCTTGCTGCGAGGGGCTCAAAACTGACCCCAGAATGTCCAGCATGGGGGATAGGCACTGCCCTGGCCCTGCTGCCGCACCAGGGCTGGAACAGGCCAAGGTGCCCTGGTCCTTCTTGCCCACCTGGGCTCCTGTTCAGCCACTGCCACCAGCACCACCAGGACCTTTCCTGCCAGCCCTTTCCAGCTCCTCTGGCTCAGCCTGGAGCTTCAGGGGGTCTCTGTGACCCTAGTGCAGAACTATTGAACCCTGGCATGGAACACATGTTCCAGGTTATGTTGCTGTTGTTAAGAGAGACCTTTGAGACATAACCTTACACCTAAGGTAGTGTTGTCAGAGTTAAACCTGACAATATCCTAATGTAACCACTTCAGGGTGTCACCTTCAGAATTCATTACTGGGATAGTTTAAATAGGGTTGGTTTTTTTTTTTAAGAGAAAGTAGCACAATGGAGTGTTTTCTTGTCAGTGTTAAAAATAAAGGTTGCTTTTTGGGGGCAGTGCAGTCAGCCATTTTCCAAGAATATCTTAATATGTTTGGATGTGCAGTTATAGAAAACAGTGTTGCTGTTCTAAGAGACAATGCTGGAAGGTTCTTTCATGCTATTTTTCTTAAAAGGTATGAAATGCTAAATTTCTACATACGTGTTAAAACCTAGCCTTATTGTAGTAATCCAAACCTAGCCTTATTGTAGTAATTCCCAGTTAGGTGGTTTTTGTCCAGGTGTGCTGATGCATGGTTTTTTACAGTGAGTCCCCAGTGCTGTTTCAAATCCTGCTTCAAAAAGTCAGAGTGGTGTTTTTGGACAGCATGAGTGCTTTTTAAAATAACTGCCTGAAATCTAGATGAGCTTCAAATGTGCTTTGGCTATCTAAAACACTTTGCTCTATTTCCATGTATACTGTTTTTCCAAATGCCTGTATTAAAAGAGCAATATTTAGTTAATCCTCACTTGTCCAGACAAATATGTATGTGATGGAGAAGGGAAAGAAGATAGCAACAGAACCTGGAGGAAGTGAAGCAGGCTGGGCTAATCCTTCCCTGAACTGAGATCCGCTTTACTACTGAATCACATTTGTCTTGACTAGCTGACATGTATTAGGGTTGGATTGGGTTGCCATGCATACCTGAATGCTTCTTGTCCACTGTAACATATCATATTTCTTTGCTTTTTTTCATGCCAAAGGGTGAAATCAAAATCGCCGTTTCTATAGAAGATGAAGCCAACAAAGACTTGCCTCCTGCTGCTCTTCTGTATAGGCCAGTGCGTCAGTATGTTTACGGAGTCCTGTTTAGTTTGGCAGAAAGCAGAAAGAAAACAGAAAGGCTTGCTTTTAGAAAGAACAGACTTCCACCAGAATGTACGTACTGCAGAACCCATGCTTTATTCCTCTTCCCTTTGCTGTGGTTTCAGAGCCACTTGTACCATGATGTGAATGGAAATTGTTGCTAAGATCCCATCAGGGTATCTGAAGCCAGAGGAATTTCAGGCCTATTGGATGCTGTGGATAAGAGAAAAAGATGTTGTAAATTTGAAATTTTATTTCCTATTGTAGTTTAAGAGCTATAAATGTTGCTATTTCTAAGCAAGCTCTGAGGCTTGGTTCTGAAGATCTGCTTAAGCTGCTGCCAGACCTACAGTGAGTGATGTCAGCTTGTGATGCCATTTGTGTATGGCAGAACTGGATTTTAGGAAACTTCTATTCTCTGCATACACATATAAATCTGCCTGCTTTTTTTCAAAAATGAGGGGTGCACAGGTTAACTTGCCCTGGCTTCCCGAATTTGCAAGTAAAATTGCAAGGAAAATTTGCAAGTAACATGTCCTTCAGGTATTGGCATATAAAATCTTGGTTTAAACCCCACAGAAATCAGGGTGTTAATGTAACCAAAGGTAGATCTGTGTGAGGACAGATGAGATTTTTGCAAACAACCTTGTCAAAAGATCCTTTTACTTGTTCAGAGATATGGATGTTAATCTTCTCATTAATCTGAAAGTTGTCTTTTTAAGTCTTCAGTTTCCAGGAATTACTGTAATTTCATTCCTCATTCTAGAATGTTTTTGTTATAATGAATGCATACAAGGAAATGACTGAACTTTTCAGTAGCAGCTTATAAAGGTTACAGGAATGCTGAAGTACTCATTGTATGGCAGCAGCAGCACAAGTATTTAAATGTAAGAGTCTGCTGTCACTATGGTAAATTTAAAAATTAGATATTCAAAATGTATGAAAACATCATTCATAAGCTTCATATGTAAAAGGATAAAAATAAGTATCAATTGTAAACTTTACATTAATTCCCAATGCTCTTTCCATTTATGATTGTGAATGTTCTTGTATGTTTGTAGTCAAGATGATAATCTCTCAATGATATTTGAAAAGCTGTTTATTTTTGCCAGTTACTTTGTGGGGATCAGTATTTACCCTGCTTGAATAATACCTCAGCACACCTACTCACAAACTTCTTATTTCTTAAAACTCACACAACATAGTGATATTCTGGGTTACAAGGTCATTTCAGGATTAAAACAGTGATTTTATTTGCAGTCATCATTTATCCTCCTGAGAATTCTGAGTGTTGGAGGTCTGCTTCAGGTTAATCTTGTAAACCTAGAATGTTCTCTGTAGGCTACTGGGGAAGCCTATATAATCTCTATTTTCTCTTCATTTATCCTGCTTTCCAGAGTTTACCTCTGGAGGGTAAGCACACTGCTGCTGACTTGGTTTAGTTACACGAGCTCTGGCAAATCTTGCTGCAGGACGCATTCAGCTACTGACCTACTTCTAGCTTAGGACTGACCAAGCTCTTAAAAAGCAGCAGCCAATTTGAACATATGCCCAAAAGTTCCTTGCTTCGCTGCAAAGCTGGCAGTGCCAGTAAAGATGGATTTGGGCTTCTGTGCACCTATGGGGTGTGAAAGGGCTCTGGTGCAGGAGCGTCTTTATTTTGGTTGGCTCTCTTACAAGGCTTGGGCAGTCTGTGTGAGATATAAGGAGAGAACAGCATCTGAAGCACTGATTAGCCTTCTCTAACTTTTCTGAGCACCCAGGTTATAATGAACTGGTGATGCTCATTCTCCTCCAGTGTGTAAATTATTTTGCTGCTCTCAAAAATGAATACATTATAAAATACGGTTATGAAGACAAGAGAAAATCTAGGAATTAAGGTATGTTAAGAGAATCAAGAAATTAGTTTCTGAAGAAATGATCCTTAAGATTTATGTAGAGAGGTAATGAATATTAATATCTAAAATCCTGTCATCTTTGTTGTACAAACCAAACACTTAAAAATAGTGCCTGAATAATTGGCAAGGATATTGTATGTGAGGATTATGGGAAGGTGGGAAAGATGCATAATAAACTGACACATAGGGATAATTACTAAATATATGGATGGCAAGATAATGGATCTTTCATGAAACGGATGACTTCTTGTCTTTTAAATAATTATTTTTTGTATGAAGTTTAAAAGCCAATAAGAAACAACAGAAGTAGCAATCAGTGGGGTTCTTCAGTCATCAATGTCTGCTAAGTGATGCCTTTGCTGTACATGGCCTCATCTCTGCTCCCAGAGGACAGGAGATATTGGGTCACAGAGTGCCTAATTGTGTTTGGCTGCCAAGGGCATGGTGCTTGCTGAGCTGCCCTTCCCTCACAGGGGGTGCAAACCAAGGGTCTCCCTTGCTCTGCTTGTTAAGCCCTGAACTAGGTTATTTCTGTGTCCTGATAAATACATGTGTGTAGTGAAACCATCTGCTCTTTCTGCTCAGTGGCAAAAGGCACACTTGCACAAGCTGTCAGAGCTCCTGGTTGGATCCCAAGGTTTGCTACTTTAAGCCCAGCAGCCTTGTGACGTGCTGTTCCCATTGCAGATTTACTCATCCAGCGCTGGCCCTGCCAAGAGGAAAGCCGTGTCTCTTGGGCAGTAGCCCTCATGCAAAATCAAGTGTGCTGAGCTCAATCTGTGCTGGCAGGAAGGATTTTAGGTTAAAAATCAAAGTTAATGAATAAGACCAGAACCACTGGTGCTGTGCTTGGCAACCAGAGCTCTGCTGGGCTGCTGTGACTGATGCCTTCAGAGTCTGTAATGCCTTGTTCAGTCAGGTGTTCATTAAACAGGTTACTGTAGTACAGGTTGATGCAGACCCTCTTTGCTTGGATTAACCATAGCATGTCGTGAGGGTACTGTTGAAAGCAAAGGTCCATATATTGTGGCGTGCCTCAGTGAGTATGCATACGTGCTGATGAGCAGTAGGATGAGGTTTGGTATGAAAACAGTATAATATACACCACGGTAATGGGGCTGAACATGCTGATTGTAGTTGTAGTCTATGTAGTTTTCAGGGTAGACACTGCTTATTTTTCAGCGGAAATCATGTGAGGAAATGCCATACATCCTCTGCCATACATGGTTCTGTCTGCTGAGAATGCAGTGAGTTTGGCAGCAGCCTCAGTAGAGTTTTTTCAAAGGCTTAAGAAATGCCCTAGAAAAATTAGTGGGTATGGACAAGACCTGGATTCATCTGTTGGATTAAATGCTAATTTCAGGTGGACAGTGCTAGAGTTGCTTGTTAATGGATTCAGCTGCAATTCCTCATCCCCTTCACTCAGAGAGGAAGCTCTATTCCAGCACACTAGATTGACTTTCCTGTTAAACCTTTCCACAAGAAGCATGGTTACCTGCACCCAGCTGTGGGTCCTCAGCACAGGGCATGGATCTGCAGAAGCAAGTCCAGAGAAGGGTATGAAGATGTTCTGAGGGCTAGAACACTTCTGCTGTGGAGACACTCTGGGAGGACTCTTTTAACCTGGAGAAGACAAGGCTCCAGGAAGAATTAGAACCCTTTCAGGTACCTTAAAAGACTCCAAGAGAGCTGCAGATGGACTTCGGACAAGAGCCTGGAGTGGTAGGACAAGGGCAATTGCTTCCTGAGAGCAATTATGGAATATTGGGAAGAAATTCTTCCTTGTGAAAGTGGTCAGGCCCTGGCACAAGTCGTCCTGCCACAGTGGGGGACGGAACAAGGTGGGCATTAAGATCTGTTCCCACTCCAGCCATTCTAGGGGTCTTGTATATTATTAGTAGTAGTAGTAATATTAGTATTTAGCACAATGTAGAAGGCAGTGTGCATCTCTAGCATGACCTGTGTAGCATGTGGCTGAAGAACAGACTGAGGTATTCTTCCTGTGGCCTTCATGTCACAGGGCCATGGAAGTTCTCCACAGATTAAAAGCTTTCAACCATATTTGAATGGTGAAACATAAGGTAGAAAACATAGATATTAAACATAGATATTTCCTTCTTCTAAGCTTAAGAAGTGTATTCAGTGTAAGTGAAAGAAACATTGGGAAAACACTGGTGGTGTGTACAGCTTTGCTTCTGATATCTAAAGCAATTACAGAACAGTTTGAAAACAAACATAAAAGACATACTTTTGTTTGTGTTTGCTGTTCCAGGCCTAAGCAAGCAGAGAAACCCAGAGAGATGAGCTGTGCAGTAGGGCAGGGTAGCTCTGCTGGCTGTTAGAGCCCATCTTTAGAGTGTAGTGGTGTATAAACTTGGGAGCAACCAAAATAGAACATGATTTTATAGTGAGGTGACCAGCTAAATATATCAGTGTTTATTTGCATGCTGCATGTGATCTTTGTAAAACTGCCCTGAGCTCTGTGAAGAATAACTGTAATGTTTGTCTGGGTTTATTCCTGAAAAGCAGGAGAGCTTTTTTTTTTTTTTGGGGGGGGTGTTCTGGAGCTTTTATCTGTAGTCCTGACCATCACCTTTGCTGTGGTTTGCCTGCCCCTGGCTATAGAATCACACATTAGGTTGCTGCCCCATTGTTTTGTAGCCATCAGGCATGTGCTGGCACCAGTGGGATGTATTCCTCAGGCTGTATCCAGTGGATTTCCAGCAGAAAGAACAGGTCTGGGCTCCTTCAAGGAATCTCCCCAGGCTGTGACCTGAACCTGCACTAACAAGTTCCTTGAACCTTTCCACACTGCATAACTGGCTGAGTTAGAAGGGTGCAGACACATTGTGAACTCTGTCAGGCTCAGGGTTGCTCCAAGACCAAAGGTATCATGTCTCAGCCTTGACTTGAACTTGTGTTTTGTTTTGGTTGTCTTCAAATAGAAGGATGAAGATGATATAGCAGCAATGTAGAGTGAACTGTCTTTGTGCTGATGGGGATGAATGGGAGATAAGGCGCAAAACCACTAACCTCTTCATAGAAAACAGTGCAATAAATGGGAAGGCTTAATATAATGTTTTGTAAAATTTTTAGGGAGAACTCCATACTTGCCTGTATTTGAGATCTCATTCCCTTGCAGTAGCTGACCAGATACAGACAAGTATAATAATACCAGGTTTAAATATTATTCAAATGACTAAGATCGTATTGCTCTTAAAAGACCATCTATGGAATATGTTTGTGTTTATGTACTATTTTTATTTATTGCTGCAGGTTTCTGATAATACACAAGTATTGTCAAATCTGACAGTATGATCACATACATATATGACATATTTAAGGGGAAAATTGCATTTTAAAGTTAAAATCACAAAGTGGTTTAGATTGGAAGGGACCTTAAACACTGTCATTTCCAATCCTCTGCCATGGGCAGGAACACATTCCAGTAGACCAGGTTTCTTCAAGCCCTATCCACCCTGGCACTGAACACTTCCAGGGGAATTTGTGCTGTTTGTTTTAGAAAAATATGTCTATTTCCTCTATGTTGTATATTCATTTGAAAATATTAGCATGATGTTCCTAGTGTATGCATGTCTGTATACATCTTATTTGTAATTTTTAAGTGATCACAATTAAAAGATACTCCATGCAGGGTTTGAATTTCATGGGCAGTGTAATCCAACACCCTATTGCTGTCTCAAAGTGATGCTTTTTGAATTAAAATCTCTTGCATGTGAAGTTTGAAATAAATGGTGGAATATGAAATACTAAGTCAGGCTGATTTCTTTCTGCTGTTGCCATTCTGCAGTTTCACCGGTGATAATTAAGGAATGGGCTGCTTACAAAGGCAAATCTCCTCAGACCCCTGAGCTGGTGGAAGCCCTCGCCTTTAGGGAGTGGACCTGCCCAAACCTGAAGAAGCTGTGGCTTGGCAAAGCTGTGGAAGACAAGAACCGACGGATGAGAGCATTCCTGGCCTGTATGCGATCAGACACACCAGCAATGCTCAACCCAACTAATGTGCCCACTCATCTTATGGTGCTCTGCTGTGTGCTGAGGTTAGTGTCACCTCCAGGGACATCAGAACCGAGGAAAGGCTTTACTCTGGGATGGAAGTGTTAATTCATATTTGCAACCTCATGAGGAGAAGGGGGTTTAGTTGTAGAAAAGCATGAGTGTAGTTCTTTTTCAGTCTCTAAAGGGAAGACAAAAAAAATCTTGTTGCAAAGAAGTTGTATCATTTGAATTAGTTTTACCTTAGTGTACTCAAGACTTCACCTCAGTAAAAAAAACAACTTTCGCGGCCTCAGAGCATTCTGTGTGTGAAGCTTCCAGATTTCCAGAGAAAAAGTCACAAGTTCCAAAATCCTGTACTGTTTTATTTTCACATTGAAAATGGGCAGAGGAACTGGGAGATGCTTACATTTGGGGTAATTATTTAAGACAACTAGCTTATAATTCTTTCAGAATCCATGGTTAGCATCTTAAACATGGTGAAATTTAATTGAAATTAAATTTGATTTAATGTAATTTTTGAGAATGATAAATGTAGATTTGTCTATTGAACTTCATCTTGCCTTTCGAGCACTAAAACACTGTTTCTCCTTACAGGCTACTTGGTATGCAAAAAAAAGTGGTATCTTAAAGCTCCTCTTTTCAATAGCAGAGCATGTTTCTCTCCTGTCACATGTCCCATATCTACCTTGGTGATTTCTGATTTAGCCATTAAGAAGCCACTGACTGAGGCTGTGCTTCCCTCACAGGTATATGGTACAGTGGCCGGGGGTGCGCATTCTGCGTCGCCAGGAACTTGATGCTTTCCTTGCCCAAGCATTGTCTCCAAAGCTGTATGAACCTGACCAGCTTCAGGAACTCAAGGTAACTCTTAACTAGGACTCATATAATTTAAGAGATTTGTTTCCAGCTGATCCAGGAATTAACTAGTGACTGTGGCTCACTAAAAGCCTATACATTCTAAAATATTAGTCATAGTGGCTTAAAATGTTGCAGAGATGGCTGCAATAGTCTGTAATGTTCATTTTCCAAACACAACACAGTAAATCAAAATCACAGGGTGGGTTGGGCTGGAAGGGACTTTAAAGCCTATCTCGTTCCACTCCCTGACGTGGGCAGGGACACTTTCCACTATCCCAAGTTGCTCCAAGCCCCAGCCAAGCTGTGCTGGGACACTTCCAGGGATGTTGAGCCCACAGTCTAAATGACATCTAGGGGTAGAGATTTTGGCAAAGGTATCTCTTACAGAGTTATCAAAGTCTCACTTCTGTCTTAAGATCTGATGCAAAGAGGAAGAAACTCCGCTGTAAAAATCACCGTTCTTAGAGACCTAAGAAAGAAATTCCCAGAGAAAATACTCTTTCCATTCCAACACAGAACAAAAGGCCACTGATAGCAGATAATATTTTGGTTTAATAGTAATTTTTTTTTCTTTTTCAATCATACATAAAGTAATGTGGATTACTCCATAAGGTATGTTGGTTAGCTGGAAGATGCAGTAATTCCTTCAGGGTTGTTACTGTCTTCATAGGAAGCAGCTTGTGAAATCAGACAGAAAGAGCAGCTGAATTTGATTGAACCCAGCCGTGTTATCTGCAAAATGAGTGGGAGAGTCTTTGGGCTCTTAAAGGTTGCTTATGCCTAAGGAAGGTGGTAATGGAGTTTAATTTTAAAATTTAATACCAAGGTCTTGAAAATGTTCCCAAGCAAAGGCTGATATTTTGAGAAGTATTTCAGAGAATACCAGTAGTAATATTTTCTTATGCCAGAGCTAAAAATACACTTGCTGCAAGCAAATCCTTTTTGCTTTGACCAGTATCTATTTATTATTCACTGTTTAATTCTACCTTAGTGTCCGTATCCTACATCCTAAATAAAGCTATTATATGCATACACACTACTTTGTTATTAAGAGATGTGTTCTTAAAGCAAAATCTTGAATCAAACTAATAGAAAATCCATTATAAAGGAGTTGAGAAAGATATGTGTTACATAGGAACAAAAATGGAATTTTGCATTGAGCTCATTCCTGAGATGTTCTGCCACACATCTCAGAAGCACTTAATTATTTGGAATAAAATTTTGAATGAAGTTTTCTAGTGCTTATTTCCTGTAAGTGTCTTTAGAAATATCTTCTTGCACTTCGTGTTGAGAAAATAGGGGTTTGTGTTTATCTCTGGTCTCCAGAGCAGGTGGATGGGACAACAGCTTTTCTGAAGATGCACAAATATGAGGTTCTGGGGCATTCTTCTGCTCAAACCTCTGAAAGTCTGGATGACCTTTTAAAATCCCTCTGTTTGCAAGAGTTTTGAAAATAATGTAACTATTGGAATAAGTTTGAATTACATCTCATTGCAATCTTACATATTTACTCTGGTTTTGAACAGATTGAGAACCTGGATCCCCGCGGAATCCAGCTGTCTGCTCTCTTTATGAGTGGTGTGGACATGGCTCTTTTTGCCAATGACGCCTGCGGACAGCCGATTCCATGGGAGCACTGCTGTCCCTGGATGTATTTTGATGGGAAATTATTCCAGACCAAGCTCATCAAAGCAAGCCGGGAGAAAGTTCCGCTCATCGACCTCTGTGATGGTCAGGTGTGTAGTTGTGCCGGGTGATGGAGTATCCCATGTGTCCACAAGGGTTCCATGGTGTGGGTTGTCATTCACCACGTTTCACCTCTTTGTTTAAAGGCATATATGAGGGGAATGGCTAATGGGTAGCTTTTGCTGTTTATTTCCTTATTTCTTGATGAGTAGGGTGGCATTTGGATCAATTTGGAAGAAGAGGCATCAAGTTGAATTTGATTTTTTTTTTTCTCTCTGGAAACGGAAACACTGATATGATGAGTTGGAAACTCTGTTGGAAACTGCTCATTTGTTCAAGTCCCACCTTTTTGTGTCAGACTGTCCAAAGGACTAAGCTACACTGGGTTTATAGTGAAAGAAAACTGGTATTTTCTAACTGATTTGACAGACTGTGAAGTCATTCTTGGGGTCCTCAGCTCAAAATCTTTTCACGCTTCTTACAATTATCTTAAAATATGAATGAAGGCCTTTTTTGTGTTATCCAAATCATGCAAAGTTACTATCCACCTGGAAAACCAGGAAACTGATAAAAGAATTTACTGAATAACCCAAATTTTTTGGTTTTAACTTTTTGAAAGATATGAAATAGTATCCCTTCTTTTTTGTGACTTGAGGAAAGCTGATCCTAGCTTTGCTACTGATGGTGACTCTGGTCCCTTCTCAGGGTTATAACCCTCCAGGCAGCCTGTATGCACAGACTCTGGATTGCAGTCCAGGTTTAGGATGATGATTCTGTCTCTACTTCTCTATTATTTTGGGGTTTTCTTTGAATTTGCTGCGTAAATGTAGCTTCATGCAATTGAAATGAGAGTTTTAATGTTCCTCAGTGACCTTCTCTTTATTCCTAGGCTGAGCAGGCAGCCAAGGTTGAAAAGATGCGTCAGAGCATCCTAGAAGGATTAAATTTCTCCAGGCAGAACCATCCTCTCCCTTTCCCACCTCCACCTGCCATGCCTTTCTATCCAGCTTCTATGTATCCTCGACACTTTGGGCCAGTCCCACCACCTCAGGGCAGGGGGAGAGGCTTCGCTGGTAAGTGATGGGACAGCGGTGCCACACATTACCTTACCTCACACATTCCCAAAACTACCAACTCTGGTCAATTGCATAGGGAAAATACAGAAAAGCAAGTGGTCAGCTTGTGTTGGCATGTGCTAGTCACTGTATTTTGGGGTTACTTTTATAAGCCCAGTGGTATGGAATGTGCTGTATTGCTGCGTATTTTCATCAGGGTTTTAGTAACTACGCCAGATCAAAATATTTTTACTGTTGTTGTAGAACTAGAAAAAAGAGGAATGGATTAACACTGGACCATATGAAAAAGCTTTGATTTGCACAGTAAATTGGTTCAAAACATTTATAAATTACCAGACACAGTTTAACTGTCAGGGCTGAAGACAACCTTTTCTCCTCCCCACTCTTCTGTGTTTTGCTGCAGTCATATAACCATTGGCACCCTCAAGTGTAAATACTGACATAACCATTCCAGGCTGTTCCTAGAATTGCTCCCTTCCTCAAAATCTCTCTGTACCAAGGCCCAGAGGTGTATAGATACCGGCCACAGGCATTTCAGGGCTGCCATGACTGTAGCTACCAATACTCACTGCCAGAAAAATTGTCACAAGCCTTTGCAATGCCATAGAAGTTGGGATCCCTTTCCAAGCCCCAAGGCCTGCCCTTCAGATCAGAGGCTCCCTGCCTGGCTGAGACAGCAGGACACCTTTGGCCAGGGCTCCCTCAGCAGTGCTGCAGCATTGCCTACAGGAGCCTGGCCCACGGGAGCACGGCCCTCCCGCCTGGCTCTGGAAGGGTGGAAGGAAAGGAGGCAGCAACCTCTCTGCTGGGGCCTTCCTGGTTGCTTGGCCCCCTCACAGCTTTTCCCCTGTCTTTCTTTACCCTGGGTCTAACAGGAGTCTATGGCTTCGGAGGCCCTTATGGGGAAACAGTAGCCACAGGCACTTACCGGGCCTTCCGGGTGGCGGCAGCGGCAGGACACTCCGGAGCCTTCTCTGGCAATGACAGCAACAGGACTAGCAAGTTTCAGGGCGGTAATTATACCCAAACCCCTTTTCTTAGAGCTTCTGGCAACGGCTTCCTCCACTGTACGGGTTGATCTGAGGCTTTCCTACTGACTCCCTGTCTCCTTAACTGTCTCAGCTTCCCTCTCTAGAGCCTGCCCAGCTGCTGTCTGCTCTGCTCCCATCCCTGCCGCAAGCCCCCAGCGCCAGCCCTCCTCATGCCAGAAACCTTCTCCAAACACAGGAGAGGCCAAAACCCAGTGGGCAGCCTCTCTCCTGTGCTCTCACTGGTGAAGAGGGCATCTGTAACCCACTGGCCTCTATATTAACAGGGAGTTTACAAAATCTGGGGACGTTTGAGCTTTTTGCAGAGACCAACGTAGAAATGACTGACTTTGGTATTACTGCTGGGCCCTTCTCTGCTGGCATCAGTGCTGGTGTGGACACAGGAGTGGGATTTACTTCCCTACTATGTACCCATTGCTCACTTCCTGTATGATGTGAGATAATGGAAACCTGTTGAGGGTAAATTTTTCCCGCATATTTAGGTGTTCTTTCTGGCCTCTGAGCTTTTATCCTAAGAGCAAACATACCTCTAGTGCTTCATGTGTAGATAACTTTGGTCGTGCAAAACATATGTATTTGGAGTTGAAGGACTTGCACAGGGAAGTAGGAACCTTCTGGATGCAATCAGTAGTGTAGTTCCCAGCCTATAACATTTGGAGACTAATTATGGCTGTGTAAATGCTGTGGTTTGTAACCCTTTTGGTGCTGATGGTCTTACCAGTAACATCTTGCTCAGTTCACATACCTGGCTTTCTTGAAATATATGTTATGCCCCAGAGCTGATTAAGTATAAAGATGTGAGCAACTTCAACAAAAGTTGTAGTTGCATCTTAGACAACTGTAACTTTAGCTGCCTTCTTTGAGGGGGAATGATAAATACACCTTTTAAACTAGATCTGTTTGAATGCTACATTTTTATAGCAACTTAGTGTTAGTAGAGCTTATCCAGTCTAGTAAGTTCTTTATTGCCAACATAATCTATATGATCTGTGCTGATACTTGCCATTGGCTAAAAAGTGCCTTGAACTTGCAAGAATTCCTTCTTCTTCGAAAATGCAGGAAAAAAAAACAGTCTTCAGCCAGCTTGTAAAATTCCCCTTGGTTTCTTGAGGCCTATCTCAAGTACATTTTTAATTACTGAAACTAAAGCATTCATGTCAGATAATTTCTCTTTTCAGAATTCATACATATTTTTAAAAAGGGGTGGGGGGAAACAGGCTCTTGGAGTTCTAACACATCTGGAATACTGCAAAATGAGCAATGATCTCACAGTATCCCTAGAGGAAATGGGTTATGTGGTGAAATCTGGACAAAACAGCTTTCCACTCATTTGGAGCTTTACTGTGATTATTGTGAAGATCAAAGTTTGGTTTTGCTTTTATGTGCAGGAGTCCAACCTATTCCTTCTCAGGGAGGGAAACTTGAAATTGCCGGCACTGTAGTCGGCCATTGGGCTGGAAGCAGACGTGGACGAGGGGGGAGAGGGCCATTTCCTCTGCAGGTGGTGTCCGTGGGAGGACCAGCCAGAGGGTAAGTGCCAGCCTGGGAATGTGCTTCTCACATGGGATTTAATGACTGGGGAAGCAAGGAAAACGGGGAGAAGTTGGAAGCAGTAGAGATGGCATATGACACTCTTTAGGATGTGTAGGGTCAATTATACCCACTGAATATTCAAGAAAAACATTGGCATTCCTTTTAGGATGCTTTTCATCAGTCATTTGTATAGGTATAAGCATTTTTATGTGCAAATAAAATTAATACTCAGTCTGAAATATATATAGATATATATACACACACAGAGGTTGCTTTTGCATGAGGAGATGGCTTTCGGACTTTTCCATTAAACCAGTAAATACATTACATTAAATTCCTTTATTTTTTATGAAAGGACATTCATTAAGAAGCATGATAACAGTTTTAATAACTACATTATGTAATCCTGTGAAGCAGAAAACACCTGAAGGGCTGGATTTAATAGTTTTCTGAGTTTAATTTCTGAGTTTAATAGTTCTCTGTTACAGTCATGATGGAAGTGTGCTTAAAAGAATATTAGTTTCTTCAGCTCTTCATTTCACTGCAGCTGAAGTTATAGGTGCACAACATGTCTGAAAACCAAGTACTTTATTGCAAAAATATATAGTTTGTTACTTTTAAGATTGTATTTTTTCCATAGGCTTGCTGGTTCTGTGCCTTACAGAACTCTCTTTATCTTTCATTAAGGTTGTGTCTATTACAGGAGACAATCCTAAAGTACTATGATTTATGTATGATGTCTGTCTGTATTAGGAGTGGAGCAAAGCTGATGGATTTATTGCCGCCTTGAGCTGGGGAGCAGCAGTGTGAAAGACTGCACTGCATGAATTTCATCTCTCTGTTAATTTACTCCAGTGTGCACTATGAAACTTCATGCTGGAGTCGACAGAGCTGTTGGAATGCCTGTCGTGTTGGGCTGATTGAGAAGCTGGGTTAATCTGAAGCCCTGGGAGAATAGGAGCTGCTATAGGGCCAGGGAGAGGCAGGAGCAGTGGGAACAAATGTGAACCAGTTCAGTGTCTGCAGAACTGACCCTTTGAGGTGACCCCGTTTAGCTAGGACTGCCCAGGTTTCAAGAATGAGATCCAGCTGCCAAAACAGAAGTATTGAGTGTTGTTTTAGCTGTTTCAGACAGCTGTCAGGTATGTGTGGGGGGCTTTTGGGAGCCCTGCACTAATCCAGAGCAGCATCTAGAGAGAGTGGGAGTGAGCAAAGATGGGGAGGCATGAGGTTTGCTTGAGTACCAGGGGACAAAATAACCTTTTTCACCATTGAAATGAGGTTCTTGGATGATCATCAGTTCTGTTTTTCATGAGGATACATGAACAGAAGCTGATTGCTTCTCCCAGTGATCTGCAGTCTGTGTGGGGAGGTGCTGCTGGTGATGGCTGGTGTCCTGACAAAGCCCGTGTCTGCCAAAGCACCCTGAGCAAGGTCTGTGGGCAGCCTAGGGCTCAGAGCTCGCTTATATCCACACAAGACAGCAGTTCCTCCATCTCCTGAAGAGGGAAATACCTGAATTCATGCAGTATGTCAGTAGCTGGGAACCGAGAACTCTCCTTATCTGGGAAGTGAACAGATCACTGAAAGGGTGTTGCTGCTCCTGCCACTACCTTTATGACAGAGAAATATGATTTTTCAGTAGTAGATTTCAATTTGAGATAAAATGCTTGAAGTTTCTTTTTGTTGGAGGTACTGTCTTAAGGCAGTAATGTTTGGTGCAGATTGTCACTCCAAAGAGACAGGAAAACTATCAATGCCAAATCTTCCTGTTTCCATCAGATCAGCACTGATAAGACATTGGTCACATGTAGAGTTACTAGAATAGGCCAGAGGGAAAATGACGGCAGGAAGCTTACCTGTTTGTTGGATCAGTTGATACTAAAGTGGAACCAATAGGAAAACATGAGTTAAGGGGAAATTTGTGTCTAAGGTTCTGCCTAAAGACAGAATCACAGAACCATAGAATATTTTGGGCTAGAAAGGATCCTAAAGGATCATGCAGTCCAGCCCTTGGTCCTGCACAGCAACAATCCCACCCTGTCCATCCCTGGCAGTGCTGTCCAAAGGCTTCTGGAGCTCTGGCAGCCTCGGGGCCGTGCCCATTCCCTGGGGCCTGGGCAGTGCCAGCACCTCTGGGGATAGAATCTTTCCCTGATCTCCAGTGCTTTAACAACAGGTTCATGTTGGTAGAGGTTATTTCCTACCAAAGGTCACAACTAGGAAACACCACAGCAGATTGTCTTACTTCATGGCCCAGTTTTGCACACTTGTATTCCATTTTTATCTCTTTCAGCAGAGGGGATTGAGTAAGGCTTGTTCACCCCATTACCTTACGTCTCTGCAACACTGAGCTCAGATGCTGTTCTTATTGTGTAAAATTATACCAGCTGCTTCGTATTAGCCTCAATCTATCAGTGTATTTAGTATGATTTTCTGAGGGGGAAAAGTTTTCTCAGCTTCTTGAAGGACACACTTTGACCTTGTAAAAAGAGAGCCAGTGAGATTGGCAAGGAGGGAACACAGTGAGAGGGACTCACATGCAAACCACAGCTCCTCTCTCTTCATTCTCTGCTGTTGCTTCTAAACCCCATCACTGCCCTCGGCAGCCTGTAGCAGGCCTTTCTGTGAACAAATTTTTCCAAATATATCTAATCTAAACCACCTCCCCTGGCACAACTTTGAGACCAAGGTGAGAGAATTTGGTTTCATCTAATGTAATCTGTACTGAATCACACCATAAACCACCACCTAATGTGTCTAAGTTGGGAGTCTCCATTGGAAAACATCCCAGCTTACCAACTGCCACATGCCAGATAAAGGTGAAACTCCTTTATTCCCTCCGTTTCTTAGATAATTTTGTGCCTACACGACTTTTTAATTCTGCCTCACTTTCTTTTATCAGAGCCTGTCTCATGTGTTTACATTGGGAACTGTTACTTAATGGGGGAAATGGCTTTCTATGTGGCTCAAATTGCTATTTTTGTAAGGTGAAAGTATTTTGAGCTCTGGTTTTAAAATGCCATGAGGATAATTTGATACTTGGAAAATGCTTCTGCAAAGCTTGAAAATGTAATTTATTGTTTCTTTTGCATGGAAATCTAGAAAGAGATTTTATTGCTCTGGACATGAAAGGTTTCTCGGGTTTGATACAATTGCAAGCAGCAGAACCCTGCAATTCAGTCTTAGGTATCTTTCCTCTTTCAAGATATGTTGATGATAGGCACTAGACAGTAAAGCTAGGGAAATAATAGTCTGACAAAACTAAATGTAAAGCAGTTGTAAACAAAACTGATCAGTGTTTTATTTTCTCCCCTTGCCCCACCCCTGCAGGCGACCTAGAGGAGTTATCTCCACTCCGGTGATAAGAACTTTTGGAAGAGGTGGAAGGTACTATGGGCGAGGTTATAAAAGCCAGGGAGCAATTCAGGTAATGAAGCCACGTGCCTGACTGCAGCACGCTCTGTGACGGGCTGGGCTGGGGTGGACTCCAGACCAGCACCACTTTAACAGCTGCAAGTGTTTCTGGCGACCTGTGGAAGCTGTGAGCTGCACAGCGGTGACAGGACAGGCTGGTGTCACAGCTCACTTAAAGCAAACTTTGCTTCTAAAGACAGATGTGGAAGAATGTATTTTGACATGAATCCTGTGCCTACACAGCTCTAACCAGCCACGGGAGTAGAAGAAAATATAGAAAATGGGAGAAATACAAAGCTGAAACAAATTAGCAGTTCTGTTCCTGCCCCACTCTTCCCCAGTTTCTTTTCTGGGACCACAGTCCAGCCTCATGAAGGAAAGTTTGTAGCAGTGAAGGATCTTTGCTGCTGCCCTGCTCCAGATGTAAGAGGTTACTCTAAACTTCTTGGGAATAGCAGAGCAACCTTTCCCCCTGAGTATGCAGGTTCCTTCCTGGTGACACCCTGCAGAGCGTCCATGGATCATGACTTCTGTCTGTTCCATGGATCCTTCAAATATAGCTGAGGCACACAGCTGATGTGTATGAGATGCCAGTTGCTTTCAGAGTTCTTATTTTCCTCCCTTTTCTATGGTTCTGGCTGCTGTGCAGTTTGGATGAATGAGTAGTAAATAGTTGAAAAAACTTCCACAATAAATATGTCATATGGATATGCCATTTGTCAGAGAGACCTGAGAGTAGGGGGGTGTTTTCAGGTGTCAGACAGTAAAAAAATGTTCTCCAGTAGATAATAAAGCAACTATTAACTTCCAGTAAAACTTACTGTTTTACAGGTGTAAAAATTCAAATACTTCTCTTTCTTGTTAAATTGCTGTGTATGCAGACTATATGTCTACAAATAGTAGACATATAGTGTATCTGTGGATCTGAAACTTCACATTTTTAAGTAGAAGAGAAACCATTGTGTTAATAATAGGGCATCTAATTTCTGAGTACCTTAAGCTTTGAAATAAAGGAAATCCTGAAAACGAGCTCCCAAATACTCCAGGCTTACTGTAGGGGTACATATGGGAGTGTAGTTCAGGTAGTAGCTGCAGGTGTCTTGACAAGTGCCATCAAGTTTGGGTATTTGCATTTTTATTAATGATATGTAATTTGGATGGTAAATGACCTATGTGTAAAATTGTGCCTGGAGAAGATAAATGGCATTTTCTATGGACCTGAGCTGATTGCATTTTGTGGTCATCAAGGCCATATAGGATGTTCCTTCTACAGGAAGAGAAAAAGGATTATTTAAAATGCACATGGCAGGGAGAACTTGGGAAAGTTCCCATACAGTGGGCTGTGAGGGCCGATGAGGCTGGGAGGTGCCAGTGGCCCCTCTGCCTCACTGAGGCAGTGCCTGTGCAGGGCCAGGCTCAGCCCGAGGCACTTCCTCCCCTCAGCTTGGGAATCTGACCAAAATGAGCTCTTTGGATTTATCCAACACACCAGACTGCTCTGTTTTATCCCAAGATGAGACTTTTCACTCTTGTTCTGGAAAGAAACTAAAGCATGTCTTGAAAGCTGAACTTAAGGATGTCTGTAAAGAGGCACAATGACAGTGATCAGTGTACTTTGTGTAGTCCCATAGCTGTGCAATGGCACTGAGAATTGTGATTATCTGGATAATGAGAATGCTAGAGAACAGCAGTTCTGACCCACCTGCAAAGTCCTTCTGTAAAATCCTTCAGCAGCTTGCTGCAGGTGTTCTAGTAGGCAACAGTGGAGGTTTTTATACTGCAGAGCTGTTTGCTGCTGTCTTAAGCCATTTCTTAGCACTTGACTTTGTGAAGAGTGTGACAGACCAGCGTGCTGCTTCTTAGCAGCCTAACCTGCTTATTTTGGTTTGTTTAAAGCGTATTATGTTTCTGGAACACTAAGATTTATTATAAATACTTAAAAACTAATTGTATGCTGCATCAGTCTGGTTTTTATGGCTATACTTCATTCTTGTACAATTTTACTATATGCTTTTTTATGAAAGTCTTTCCTAATCTTGGAAGCATATAGTTTGGTGCAGGTAATACTGCATGGTGCCTCTGCAGTCCTCCAAATGTTGGCTGGAAACAGTCGTGTTTTATTTGAGTAACATGGAATCCTGCTACTGAATTACAGCACATATGAACCAAGGAGCAAAGTGCAGCTGTACATTGATTCTCAGTTTCAGTGTTTCAGACATTTATGTAGCTCTCATGTTGTGAAAGGAGAGCAACAGCAAAGTTAAAACTAAAGCATTGCCCCAAGGGCATCAGAAGGCTCTGGGAACACCGAAAATCCTCTCCATGTATTTTGTGGGCCACTTCTTTCAGCAATGCCTAATATTTGGTGTTCACTCACAACCCTGTGCCCTGCATGCTGCCTGTTGTAGTGTCCTTATATCAGACTGTACATTTATATACATTTTTAGCACTGGTTCTTCAGTAATTCTCTTCTTTTTTTAACAACTAGGGCAAACCTCCTTACGCTGCTTCAGCAGAAGAAGTAGCCAAAGAACTTAAGTCAAAATCCGAGGAATCTAAATCCTCACTTGTGTCTTCAGATGGATCCCTGGCTGAAAATGGAGTTGTGACTGAGGAAAAACCAGCTTCCCAGATGAATGGGAATACAGGAGACATCAGGGCTTCCAATCAGTCTGAAAGTGCCTTGAGTAATGACTCTAAAATGTGCAATACGAATCCTCACTTAAATGCACTAAATGCAGACAGTGTTTGCCATAAAGATGATGCTCTTGAGGCCACTGTCTTAAAAAAAGAAGAGTAAACTTATTTTTTATAGAGGGTGAAGGATGTTGGGAAGGGTCAGGATTAGGAATATCTGGAAAGAAAGAGAGCCTACAGTTACGTACATTTTTTCCTTTCCGTAAGAGAAAAATGAGGACTTTGGAAATTCGGATCCCTCTTTGATGTCAGAGATTTAAACAACACATTTTTTTAGTTTTAACCAGTTGTAGTCAAAATGCTACAAAAAAAAAAAAAAAAAAAAAAAAAAAAAAAAAAAAAAAAAAAAAAAAAAAAAAAAAAAAAAAAAGAATGAAGAGCATTTGACTCCCGCACTTAAAATGAAGTATACATAAAGTTTAAACTGGTTATGACAAAAGCTTGTAGTTTTGTTTTTTGAAATATAAAGAAAACAAATTTTGGCAGTCTTTAAGTATATATAGCGTAAAACTATAATTTTTAGTACTTGGCACCATATGTATGCCATTATATTTGATTTTGCATTACTGTGTCACAATAAAGCTTTCTTTAAGGCTTTGATTTCATGATTATGGGGGGAAAAAGGCACAACCACAGTTTTTTCTTTCTGAAATCTCATCACCGTTGCCGTGGTTCTTTTGTGTTAAAAATGTGCAAACTCGAAACTACCAATTCTCAGTAACACTGCAGTTCTGCTGAGTTCAATAGACATCATACATATGTTATGAGCGAGTTAAATGGAGATAAACTTGAAATCATAGAAGATACAAACGACCTTTCAAAACAAACACAATGTGTTAGGAAACTTTTTGTGACTAATACCATGCATCTGTGATCAATGAACTATGTGGTTTTGAATCAGACGTAGACCATTAGTACTACTATTTGAGCTAAACTTCTGCATGGTTCATGATTTTTAAAGTGTGTAGTTAATATTATGCATGTTATTGTCCTCTTTCTTCCATTCTTACAAGTACTGTGCCCATTTGCAAAACAAAAAAAAGCTAATAATCAGTAATAGTCCTATAAAAGATGTTAACTATGTTTAGTCATTGACTGATCTTGCTCTAACCTTAAAATTTTGTGATTATTGACCTCTGTTGCATTTATTCTAAAACTTTAAAAAAAATTATCTAGCCGTTTTGAATATCAACGTTACCCTGGTGTACTCATTGCTGTATGCATTATTGTTCTCTGTTGCTGTTTTATGCCTTCATATTAGCAAATATGAAATTCTGTGAAAAACAAAAAAAAAACGCTTTGATCTTCAAAAAAAAGTACCCCCCTTCTGTAGCAGGAAACAAATGGCTTGTTCTTGAGAACTTTCCCATCAAGAATTTAGTATAAGCAAATATACCTGTATCATTTTGATGTTTTTGTTAGTGTTTCCAAACTTAATGTACTTCAAAATCAGAATCATTTCTTTATATTCGTTTTCATATAATTCTCCTGATGCTCTTCATCACACATTAGTGATCAGAAATGAGGTGTAATTCCCCATTCCCTGCCCGCCAGAGCTAAGTAGGTATCTTAATGTAAGTTGAAGGGAGTTCTGCCCCAACTCATGGATTGTGCAAGAATGAACTACTGTTGGGTTTGGCTGGTTGTAGATGGATTGTGGTGTGGTGTCTTTGAAGGCTATTGAATGCAACTTACAGTGCTTAATAAAAATCTTTATTCTTTTAGTATAAAATACTGTATGCCTTTTTTGTCAAGTATTTTTTAAATTAACATGTAAATAAAAGTTTTTCCTATGCCCAAGTCAAGTGGTTGAGTTGCCAGGATCTGTGGTGTCCTCTTAAAAGGCAGGGGCGAGAAGCATGGCCTCTGGTTGTGGCTCCCCTGGATCCCTGGAAGTGTCCAAGGTCAGGCTGGACAGGGCTTGGAGCACCCTGGGACAGTGGAAGGTCCCTGCCCATGAGGGGGTGGCATTGGATGGGCTTTAAGGTTACTTCCAATCCAAACCATTCTGGGATTCTGTAGTTCGCTTACTGCTGGGGGACACCACACCTGGTTGGAGTCATGCCCTGACTTTGCTGGTGTGTGCAGCTCCTTTAGATGTCACCTTTAAATGTCAGATGGTTGAAGAGATGCAAATAAGCCCGAAATAATAGGGGAGTTGTTCAAAGAAAAAGAATAGCAGGTGCTCACAGAGGTTGATAGGGGTGAGCAATGCCTCTACAGAGCCAGGAACCAATGAGTCTGTTACACAAGATCCAGCTGACAGAACATGAGGAGCTGCAGATTTACACCTCGGTGTAAAGTGGGGAGCTTTCTCCTGTGCTATGCCTGTCTGCTTGGTGTCCACAGTCATGTTAGTGACAGCCCGGCCCCTAGGCTGTGAGCAGTGGGCACAGCTCCCTCTGCCCTGCCTCGAAGCACAGCTATGTTTTCCACAAGGGACAGCAATCAGTCCTCTCTCCTTGCCGAGTCAGATCCCCCTGTAGCAGCCGAGGGGTTCTGTCCCTGCCCTCCGTGCTGCATGCCGTGTGACTCGCCCCGTGCCAGCACTTGTCTGCTCTGACAGCTTCTTGGTTCTCAAGCAGCTGCAGGGCACTCTGTGTCCCATTGCCCAGCAGGTTTCCTTTTGGAGCCCAACCTGGGAGCTGGAATGGAATAACCAGCGTCAGCAAACCCAAAGTGCATAGGAGTGGTCCCATGTGGCAGTGCCAGTCCCCGGTGTGGGTGCACTGGGAATGAGCTGGGATGGATGGGCTGTGAGAGCCCAGCACCCCTCGGGATGAGCACGGGGCCGCCTGCTTGCTGTCCCAAGCAGCTTCCTGAATGACAGATGCATTTAGCACTGACACAGTCCTCATACAGTGAGTTAAACTGACTCTGGAATCAGTGATCCTATGGAATGAGTGGCTACTGCCTGGGCTTGCTCCTGAAGAATATCTTTGACACCTGAATTTATGAATAGAATAGAACAGAAGACAGAATATAGCTTAGGATGGGATATTTCAGTTGAAAGTGATCCACAAGGATCATTGAGTTGAACTGCATGATCCCATCAAGGCTGACCAAAAATTTAAGCTCATTAATAAGGACATTATCCTAACGCCCCTCGAACACTGACAGTTTGGGGCACTGACCCGCTCTCCAGTACCCTGATCCAGGGTCTGACCACACTCTCGGTAAGGAAAGCCAGGGTGTGACCAGCATCTCATTAGCCAGCTCCAACACAAGAGTAAAACTGGGATAATCCGCTCTTTGGGTGGGACGCGGGGCCGCTGTCCGTTCTGTGCTATCAGCAGCAGCATCGGGGCTCTTCCCTCACTCATTGTGTGTGTTAACGAGCAGCGATGCTCGGCGCGTGCCGCTCCCCGGCAGCATGCGCTGTACCTCAGGCTTCCCCGGGTCCCCGCCAGGCCAGGGCTGGGCAGCGGCAGCGGGGAAGGCTTCGGCTCGGGGACTCCTGGGGCAGCGTCCCGGCCCGCTTTTGTTCTCGGCTCCCGCCTGCGAGGCAGCGTCCGGGCAGCCGGGAGGGCAGTGGGACGGCCCCGGGGCAAGAAGGCCTCGCCACCGCCACCACCACCGCCATTGCCACCACCACTGCCACTGCCATTGCCATTGCCCCTGCCATTGCCACCGCCACCACCACCACCATTGCCACCGCCATTGCCATTGCCACCGCCACTGCTATTGCCCCCACCACTGCCATTGCCATTGCCACCACCACTGCCATTGCCATTGCCATTGCCATTGCCACTGCCACTGCCACAGCCATTGCCATTGCCATTGCCATTGCCATTGCCCCCGCCACCGCCATCGCCACCGCCACCGCCACTGCCATTGCCATTGCCATTGCCACAGCCATTGCCCCCGCCATTGCCATTGCCATTGCCATTGCCATTGCCATTGCCATTGCCATTGCCCCCGCCATCGCCACCGCCCCCGCCCCCGCCACCCCGCTCCGCCCCTTCCTGCCCGGGGCCGGCCGGGGGAGGCGGGGCCGGGCCGTGGAGCGCCGCTGCCGCTCGGGGTGTGCCCGGTCCGTGCTGGAGCTGCCGGAGGGATGCGTTGCAAGGGTTGGGAAGCCCTGCCCGCGGCTGGGCCGTTCTCTCGCTCAGTGAACAGCTCTGCTGTCCGCCGGACGGAGCCGCAGCGCCTGGTGCAGCCAGGAGGGGGAATGGCGAATGGGGAATGAACGGGGAATGGGGAATGGGGCACGGGGCGTGCAGCCGTCGCTCCTGCGCTGGAACGAGATGAGGATGACGCCGTGGCGGGTCTTTCAGTGCTGCCGGTGCCCGGGAGCACCGTTATCCAGCCCCGCAATTATCCAGCCCCGCAATTATCCAGCCCCACAATGATCCAGCCCCACGGCAGATGGCAGTACCGGTGCTGGTGAGAGTCTGTGTGATCCTTTAGATCGCATCCAAAGCCTGTAAAGTGAATCCGGCCCAGGTGGGTCCCACCCATTGGACAGAGATGGGATGAAGTGGGACAGTGTAGGATCCCAGAAGATAAGGGGTTAATAATGTGTGTGTCTCAAGCACCGATAGCTGGACTAGCTGTGGAGCCAACCAAGGATTGTTGGTAATAACACTCCATTAGAAAAGAACAAGATGTGGCTGGAGAAGGGGTGATGCAGGGGGAGGGCAGCACTTGTCTGGGACAAACATCCTTGTTCCAGTCTCTGGAGATAAGTGCAACACAGTCCAGTGCAATGACAGGAATGAGGGTGAGGAGTGAGCATCGGCTGCAGGAGGTGATCAAAACCACCCATGTCCCTTGAAGCTCTCTGACCCATTTCCAGAAAGATCAGAAAGAATGGACTGCATGGGATGGGATGGGATGGGATGGGATGGGATGGGATGGGATGGGATGGGATGGGATGGGATGGGATGGGATGGGATGGGAGCAGAGGACTGCTCTAACAGTGATTCCTCTGCTATCTTACTCCAATTTCTGGTTCTTAACAGCTCTCAGCAAATAGAAAAGGTTCTAAACACTTGGAAAATCTCTTTTATCTGGGAAATTCCTGGGTGCTTTGAATTTGGGAAAAATGAACGTTCTGATGCCTCAGGAAGTATCCTGATCCCTAGCGAGAGACAAAATAAGTGGAGATCAGCCTGAGGGTTGATGGGCTTGTGTGTGTCCCTCTTCTTTGGAGTTTTGGGCTAGAGAATGCTCATGGCCCTGCACAGCAACACTGTGAGGGTCGCTGCCCTCTGTTTGGGCCTGTGCCACTTTTTTCCAATCAGTTTAAAAATACATATTAAAACTCATTTCAAGGTTTCAAACAGTGAACTCTGTGATCAAATGGCATTTTGCTGAAGCACCTGGGCGCAGCTCCACTGCTCACCCTCCCCTCCCAAGGGCAGCCAGGTACCTTTTGGGTTGAAATGTTCATGAAGAGCTCAGGACAGTGGGACAACCTCACCCATAAGTTTATTAATTTAATAATCCCTGTAAAAATTATGAGTAAAATGTCTAAGCTGTCAGAACAGAGCTTCTACATTTCCATGCAGTGTTAGCTCCAGTATCCTCCAGCACAATTACAGATGGCCCAAGTGACTATGGCACATGGCAGTATTTATAAAAACATGAACACTATAAAAACAGGAGTAAAACTACACACACACCACTCTGCTGCTAGGTATGGCATCACCTGAGGGTCAGCAATGGACAATGGAGAGCTGGACATGATTCCAGCCCCTCGGAGCACCTGGCTGCACTCAGGCATGGCCCTACTGCCCTCTGTAGGGAGCACCAAACCCCAAGGGTGTGAGAACCCCGGCCTTGCTCTGGGGTCTCATGTGGTGGTGAAATTCTTCCTCTAACCTGTGCTTCCAAAGAAAAACTCCACAGGCTTTAGCTGTTCGGTCTCAAGGCAGTTTATTGCTAGTTATCTAACAGATTATGTTCTTGGACTGCAGCTATTTGATCAGCGGCCTGGGTAGAGGCACACACACACCCTGACATCCTCTCTATCTGCTGTCTTCTTCGTCTCTCTCCGCCCAGGGCTGCTGCTATCTTTTATAAGATATATTATGTATAATATGTTTATAATTATTTCTCAATGCCTACTACTTACGTTGCTAAGTGTTTTTTTATTCTAAACTAATCTGTGAGTGCTAACATCACTAGGAACATGGAGGTAAGGAAAAAGAAGGAGGAAGAACAGGATTAGCTTACTTTTTTCTATCTTAGAACTTCTGACCCCTATGTACAAAGTGAAAACCCCCTTGTATATGTGTTAAAACTCCCCTGTACAATACTAAAAAAATTTCTTTTCTATTTTGTAATTACTTATACTATACTATTTAACCTTTTGTGACTGCTTGTTCTACCTCTAAAGTTGGTAATTCATTTTATGGTTCAAACTTAAAATTACAGCTGTTTTTTAGCTGTTTGCTAGGGTCTAGAATGCTTTTGATTAAGGCTTGGAACCTCTAAAAATGTCTGAGAGACATTTTGAGTTCCCACACCAGGGCATTCAGAGGGTTGGCTCACCCACTGCAGCAGCTGGGACACAATACTGGAATTCGGGTGGTGCCTTGGAAATAAAGGTGTTTGCATGGAGATGCTCATGGGACTAAGGAAAGGGGATGAGAAAAATTCTTCACAGCTGATATGGGCTGGGTGAGCAAAGGCCGTAAACAAGTGGGAGAGGGAACATGGGCACAGAAAGTGGTGTGGATTAACTGCTTCAGGGAACAGTCATTTTGTTTGGAAAAGGCCTCCAAGATCATGGATCTACCCTGTGCTTCCATGCTCTGTAACATGACAACACTGGTTTCAGGAAGGGAGGGAGG